ATACCATAGATATTAGTAAAGTCTTGGATCATATTGTTTGATTTTTTATCTGACTTTGGGTAATTCTTTGTAAAATGTCCTGATTTTTCATAAAAAAAACATTTTGAACTTTTGATATTTGGATCTTTATTCTTTCTTGCAAACTCAAATCTTTGGAATCTTTTGGGTTTGTCGGCATATCTGTACAGCTTCTTATTTTTGGATATGGAGAAAATTAGATGTCCGAAATGTCTGAATATTTTAAAGTACTCTATGAAACCAGACTTAATGGTGCTTAGACAGAACCTCTTTCTGAAACTACCAGATTTGAACTTGACCATACAGGACCAGTAAAATGGAATCCTTATTGGAAACCTCCTGAAGTTCTACAACAAATGGAATGGTAAGAATCCCATGACCTTTTTTAAGATTTTGATATAGATCAATGGTTATAAAACATATGATATAATTTCACACCAAGAGCAGATAACTCACACCTCAACCTCTTTCCATAACACACTTATCATTCTCTCAAATGATGCTTATGTCAGCAAGTCACTCATGGTGCCCAAGATAAAATATTTCATGTTTCAGTCCAATTATGTATAATTACGTGTGATAATTTTCAGTTTCTTAAAAGACTCTAAAAGTTGATAATGATGCCTCCACATCAAGATAACTTTATGTCAAGTCACCTTTATGTATAGTCTACCTTTAGTCAAGTCATGTCTACTTTATGTCATAAGTCATCTTTACTTTATGTCAAAATTGTGATGAGTCATCTTACTTTAATTTTATGTCAAGTTATTTGTAAAGTTGTAATCATGTTTTGTCATAGTTTTGTTCTATTAGGTTATTATTCCTTTACTTTTTCTTTATATAAATAGGATGCTAATAATAAATTACTATAGTGAAAGACATATCTCCATAAAGTCAGACTATCAGTTCGACGTTAAAGTATGAGGGCCCTAGAGTCTTGAATATCGGCTAGAATACGTTTATGTTTAGTATTATCTTGACAAGTTAATCGATCTACATATGTTAAAAAATAGTATAAGATAATATTGTCACGACTCTATCACCAGGAGGTCCAAAACTAAATCCGTCAGTTTTATACTGAACCAATATCATATTAATAGTAAGTTACTATAGTCAAAGACATATTTTCATAAAAAGTCAGGTCAACAGTTCGATGTTAAGTCAAGAGGGCGCTAAAGTCTTGAACACCGACTAGAATACCTTGGTTATATATCTGATCTATGAAACACTTATGTTTGATATTATCTTAAAGAGTAACATTGTTCATCTAACCCACCTTGATTTTCTAGAATCAAATAATAACATAAATATAAAGAGTTTTATATATGTATTAAAATAATATTATTTATTTTTAATTCAAGAGGATATAATCCTTTTAAGAAGAAAAATATATATTTTGATTTGAAATTAAAATTTTTATATCTTTAAAAAAAATTTTAATCATTAAATTAAGTGATGGAAGATAAAATAGTATTATTTATTAAAAAATCTTTCTCATTTATAAAATAAATCAATGATTAATTTAATAATATAAAGTGCATTAATTGAATTTGTCTTGTTAAAAATTAACTTAACCAAAATTTTTAGGTTATTCTTTAATAAAGGTGAAAAAAATTAGTCTGTGACATAATAAGTCATGCGAAAAGTTTTTCACTGGTAAATGATTGCATAAGAATAAATACATCACAACTGATAAATAGTACTATAAATTTAAATTTTGAGAGAAACGCGAAGTTCACCTTAATATTATGTCAAAATCAAATAAAGAATATTTATATAATTGTAGCTTATTCAAAAAACACAAAATTTAATATGATATATATATTTTTAAATTGTTATATATTTTAATGATCACTTCAATAATATTTTCATTGTTACCGGTATTTGCATACAGTTTTAAGATAAATAATTACTTATATAATTAACCACATCATCAATCACAAAGTATTAAAAAAAAATCAAACCAATAGATATTATTCTATATTCAACAAAATAAAACTTATATGAAATTTTTTAAATAAAGTTTATGAAGTTTATTTATAAAACTAATTTACTAAAAAATCTAAATTGATATATTAATAAAATTAAATATGAAAATCAATAATATGTAAAAAAATATTTTTAATTTAAATTTAATTGATATTTATTTAATGATAAAATTTTTATTAATATTTTATTGAAAATGTCTATTTAAAAAATATATTAAAATTTATTAAATATTTTTTTTCAAAATTTGCATACTTAATCTATGTAATAAGAATTTTCAATTTATTGATTTTAATTTTTTATTTTAAAATTTATTTAATCATTCTTAATTGCAAATTTTCACGAACTTCATTAAAAATTTTTTTCTCTACCAAGGGAATCACACTTTGTGACATTTAGGAATGAATCAAATGTTAGTCAATTTGATTTTTCTTTTACAAGGAAAGAGGATCGAAATAATTGTAAGGATTACAATGTTATACCGTGTGAGAGTATGACTATACAACATAGACTGTTAATATTCAATCTATTCCACCTTAGGGGTCAAAAAAGAAACATTAAAGTCATGAATCAAGTATTAAGTGATGAAACTTGAAAGGGACAAAATGGCAGTGTTTAAGGATAGACTAGTAAAAATAATTGATCATAAGGCTGATGATGATGTAAAAATAATGTGAAAAAAATATTACAGTCAGAATTCAAAGGGTTGCTAAAGTGACATTTGGAGAATCCAAGGGTAAGGCACCATTAGGAAAGGAATCTTGATGGTGGAACGAGGATGTGAAAAAGACAATTAAAGTTAAACGGGAATGTTATAAAAATTTATGAAATAATAAGGATGAGAAGAGTAATTAGAATTATAAGACAACAAAAAGGCAAACCAAAAAAGCTATTCAAGACTCAAATAATAGGATTCATGAGAAGTTATATAGAAAACTAGAGATAAGAGTTGAAAAAAAAGAACTGTTCAAATTTGTTAAAATAAAGGATAAGAAGAGTAGAGATCTTAATGGTGTTAGCAGCATCAAAGGTAACGACGAAATAGTTTTAGTGAATGATGAAAATATTAAAAAGAGATAGAGAAATTATTTTGACAATCTTTTTAATAACAGTTTTAAGCATGATAGAAGTGGGTTAAACATACATTCTCATTATGTAAATCATATATTTAAGCGTAATATTAAAAGTTATGAAGTTAAAGAGGTTTTGAAAATGATGAGATTAAAGAAATTTGTAGGACTAAATGAAATCCTAATTGAAGTTTGGAAATGCTTTAGTGAAATAAGAATAAGATGGTTGACGAATTTTTTCAACAAAATTTGATGTACCCAAAAGATGCCAAAATAATAAAGGAAGAGCACTCATGTGCCTTTATACAATAATAAAAGTGATGTATAAGATTGTTCGAACTATCGAAAAATAAAACTTATGAGTCATACTATAAAATTTTTGGATAAAGTAAATGAATGTAAGTTGCGACGTTGGGTTATTATGTCCAAAAACCAATTTGGGTTTATGTTAGGACGCTCCATAACAAAAGTGATCCACCTTTTGAGGCTTTTATTAAATGATTTTTGGGTGAGAAAGAAAGATCTACATATGACATTTATCGACTTGGAGAAAGTATATGATAAAATTCCTCGATAGATGTTTTCATGGGCTTTAATGAATAAATGAGTCCCTTTACGATACATCAACATAGTTAAAAAATATGTATGAAATAGTGGTAACGAATATGAAGATGGTTGGGGCCATGATAGATAGCTTAATCTATTGCCTCGATATTACATCAAGCCTCAGCATTAAGTCATTTTCTTTTTACATTAGTTATGGATGAACTCACTAGACGCATCCAAGATAAGATGCCATGGTGTATATTATTTGTTGATGATATAGTCTTAGTTGCTGAAACTCGTGATCCTCTTAATACGAAATTAGAATTATGGAGGAGTACATTGGAGTCTCGAGGTTTTAAATTGAGTAGATTTAAAACTGAATATATGGAATGCAAATTTAGTAGTCAAAAGAATGTGAATACTAGTGTGATTAAGTTGGATGGTGAAAAAGCACTAAAAGTAACCAATTTTTATGTTTAGGATCAATTATTTAGAATGATACTGATATAAAAATAGATGTCAAATATAAAATTCAAGCAGGATGGGTGAGATGGTGAAGTGCATTGGGTATTTTATATGATCGTAACATACATTTGAAGTTAAAAACGAAGTTATATAAAATAACTGTAAAGTCTGAATTACTAAATAGAATTGAGTGTTGGGCTGTTAAGAAACAATATGAGAAAAAAATAAACGTAGCGAAGATGATGATGTTTAAATTGATAGGTGATAAGATCGGAAGAGACAAAATCAGAACTAAAGATATTCGAAAAAAGTTAAAGGTAGTTCGAATTGAAGATAATATGAAAGAGAGGCATTTGTGATGGTTTGAACATGTGAACGTATACCTAATTGTGCACTGATTAAGAAAATTGAGTCTTTAGATCTAAAAGAGATAAAACATCTAGAGATAGATCACGAAAGATATAGATGCAAGTAAAAAAAAAACGATATAATTGTTAAGGAATTAAATGAAAATATGGTTATTGATATAAATGAATGACACAAAAAAATTCAAACACAATCTAACTTGATTTTCTAATTTGATTTTTCATACAATTAACCATAAAGTATAGGATATAAGACTTAGTGTGTTGTTGTTGTTGTTAGGCTTTTCTTTTTATTGTAACATCAATAAAAAACAATTGTTTGCTTTTGGATTTAAATTTTCAAATGTATGTTTTTTATTTCATATTTTCAAAACTAAATAAAAAAAAAGGTAACCAAATGGAGTTTTAACGTAGGTTTTTATTTATTTCCTTAATTGTAGATCAATAAAAAAGCAAAAGTGAAGAAGAAAAATTGCCGTTTTATTGATTAATAATACTTTGCCAAATTTTAGACATTAGATTATCCGTTGTAGTCTAGTTGGTTAGGATATTCGGCTCTCACCCGAAAGAGCCGGGTTCAAGTCCCGGCAACGGAAATTATTTTTTTTCCTTTATACAAATTATTGGGAATTTGGGCGGGAATTCTCAATTAGGTTTTGATTTCTTTACTATCTTTTCCCTTATTTCACCGCCAAATATAAATCAAATCGCGTCTAATCTTGCTGCTTCGACAATCGACGGTGAGAGGCAGAGGGAGAAAAATAGAAAAGAACTAGGGTTTGGAAATCTGAAAGAAACAGAAAATTAAGAAGAAAAAGAAATGGAGAAGAGAAAAATCAGCAATAATTGCAGCAACGCAAGAGGAAGAATCAACAGAGGAGGCATGGAAGCCAACATTTTAGCAATCCTCGACTCTGCTGAATCTCACAAAGATTCTCAAGACGCCAAAGATGACCGTTCGTATACTCTCTCCACTTTGAATTAAATTCTCTTCCATTAATATTAATAACATTAATTTTCTTACTAAATTGTAGAATCTTCTTTTCTTTTTGTTATTTTGTTTCGTTGAATTTAGGTATTGATTTTCTGGAAGCCGTGCGTACTGCTTCATTTGTACCAGAAAACGGAACTCCTCCTACTGAGTAAATCTATGTTCTCACATTCTCTTTTTTATTATTTTTTAAATCAAATTATTATTATTTTTTTTTGCAATAAAAAAGATTGATGTGCTTTTTTTTTTTTTTGAATAAAGAAAAATGGTTGAGGCAGTGTTTCAAATCCTGAGGGAAGGCAAATCTCTAGAACTTATAATGTCTAGTTATGAGCTTTTGAATGAGATCGAGAAGGTAATTGACTTTGATTTTTTTTTTTAAACTTATGATTTCATTACTTTATTCATTTGAGAAATAAAGTATATAACGTATTTCTTAATGCAGAGTTTTCCTCGGGTTTATATATCTGAATCGTCTGGTAATGGTTCGCGTGATCTGATTGTGATTAATGAGGTAAATAGGCATCTTGATGATGTTTAGTAAGGTTTAAGTATTTGTGGATTCTGCATTTTAATTTGATTGTTTTGCTTGTTTATATAATTTAATTTTGGCTTTGTTGCTTGTTAGGCATGGTCGCCATTGATGGTTTCTTTGGATGTCATGTCTAGTGAGAGAGAAGCCACTCAAAAAAACTTCTGTGGATTGTTTGATCCCAATGTGAGTTGGAGTTGTTTTAAACCTTGGAATGTTTATTGGGGATATGAATAGTTGAGGTTTCTTATATGTTGAACTCTTTGTGTTCAATATGGAAATGGTGCTAAAAGCAGGAAAGCTGATTGTAGTAACTACAATTGCTTGTGCATAGCGTCATTAGCTTTTGTTTGATTGTCTCTATCATTGCCAGGGTTTTCATGAATTAGTACAAGGTCTTGCTGAATTAGCTAATGAAACAATTTCTAAGGGACTGGATACTAAGGTTTGTATACTTATTCCTTATATTTCATCTTTCAACTTTAAGTACTTCAGAAAGTGTGCATATAGTACTGAAGTTCTCTCACATAATAGTGCATTACAAATGTCTACCGATTGTAACACAATGCCCATGGTAATATTACTTGTACTGTTTGGTTGTTGCTTTTAGCTAGTAGTTGGCCTATATTTTCTGTCCTATAATAGTAATTGTTTATGTCTTTCATTTTGTTGGTAAATGAGTTTTGACTGTTGCTAACACAACTTTGTTGTAGTCCTTAGGAAATATGTTACTGTTTCAATATCTTGTCAATGTTCTTGAAGGAGATTTTGTGCCCCGTATCAATGTGTATAAAGGTAAGCCAATATCTAATGTTTTATGCTTGTTAATCATCAGGAAGGTTTGACACATAGTTTTTATATTGCAGAAAGCATGAAGTGGAGCTTTTTGAAGGAGTGCTTACTCAACATGCTTCTGGTTAGTTTAGTTTTTAAGCCTTTAATTTCTTTGCTACCTTTTGTTTATTACCTTCTCACAAATTTCATTAAATGGGTTGAGTTATTTTGTTATGAGTCTTCTATTGGCTTTTCATGCTAGATTTATTTTGTAGGGTTCAAGAAGAATCAACTACAAGGTTTTAATGAAAGATTGCTTGTCTACAATCTGTGGACTGTGCCAAGATTATGCTGGAATCGATGAGTCTGGCTGTTCTGAGACTTCTATGGAAAAATCATCTGAGAATCATAATAATGATGTCACAATTGCTTTACTTGAAGTACAAAAGACTACTTGTATGGCTATGCAGAAACTTTTGATAATGGTTAGATCCCAAAATAACGTTAACTACAAGATACTTCTTAATCATTTTCCCTGTCATCTCTGACTTTGTGGACCTCTCTAGATTATGGAGCTTGATATCTCAAAGAAGCAAGCAGACATGAAAGGTCAAACTACCAGAGCTGATGGTGTGAGGTAATTGCTTGACTATGGTTTTGATGATTTAGTTTTGTCTTCATAACTTTTGTTTTATATCTATATGTAGATTAGGCACTTAACCTGTGGATTTGGTGCAGAACCCCTCTGGTAGAGATAATCTTGGATGAGCTAACTTATGACAGAGATATACTTTCCCCGTTTCTTCAGGTTGTCATTTATACATACTCACAAACACACATTTTCATTCCAAAAGAATGGATCTGTTCATATAATGCTTGGGAAGTCTAGGTGATAAATAAACAGGTGTTACCTTTTATCAGAGCAATTGACTTAGGCATCCCTTTGTCCTTTGACCATACTCTTTAGGTAAACTATATATTCCTTTTGAATTTTGATGGTAGGAGTTCATTACCATCATCACTGTCAAAAATGTTTCATCACTTATTAGTTTTAGGTGTTTCACTTCAACTAATCTTTTGGTAACTATGTTAATATCCTTGCTGATTGGATTTTTTTTAATATTGACATATCACATGCTCAGCATTTCCTTTGGCTTTAATAAAATGTTATGTAAATGTTTCTATGATAGCTACACTTCTCTTTAATCTTTTAGTACCTATGTTAAATATTCCTCTTCTAATTGCATTTTATTCTTATGAATGTATTTCATGATCAGCATTTCCAACCATTATAATCTTTTTTCAGGTCTTTAATGACCCTAAATGGAAGCTTGAACTCATTGTGCAGTACTTTCTTAAATACACTGCTAAGGTTAGTTGTTGAGTTGTTGTAAATGGTTTGTCAAATTATTTTATTGAAATATTTTGTTTTTACTGAAAATGCACACATGTGCATATATTATATGCAGAAAATTGTGAGACAAGTCTGGGCCAACCTATAATTTACATATTCTTATTCTGTAATGCAGCCTTCTGTTCGTACTCGTAGATCAAATAGTCATTCTGAAGATTCTACGTTTGTTGGAGTTTTGAAGTCCTTTTCAAATAGTAGCAGCACAAAAAACATTATAAAGAAAATTGATGTAGAAGTTGTTCAATTGCTTTTGGCTCATGCTTTTCAAGTGAGTCTTCTCGTTATTTGTTAACCATACTGATAACTTAATGCTTTTATTAAGGATGATGATATTCCTTGCTTTTAATAATTATTTTATTGCAAGTAGAGATGGTTGAGATGAATATCTGCTGTTGTTTTGATTCGTCTTCTTGAGCAACAAAACAAGCTACAATCAATGGAATTGCATTGTGAGAGATTAAGTGGCAGGTGCTTGGAGGGATGATTTTTCCATTGGTAGTATGTGTGATTGTTGCCATGGTCCATATTAAAAAATTCCATCCATCTTGTTTTGTGTTTTGCTCAACCTATTAATATGAGGGTAATTGAGAGTTGAGAAACTTAATCAGAATTATCTTCATTGCAGATATGAGGGTAATTGAGAGTTGAGAAACTTAATCTCGCGTTTTGCCTTGTTGTTGTAGTCTTGTAGAAAAGACATGAAAGTCACGAGACAATTGAAAATCTAAATTTGAAGCTAAAAGGTGGAATATTTCTGTGATATTAGCTCTGAAAATTGGTCTTGTAGAGTAATTTTTGAAACAAGAAATTCAAGGATTCAAGATCATTGTTAAACACTAATGCAAAACTTCTATGAAGTTAATCTCTGCAAAATATTTGCCCTTTTTGTTTTATGTGCATAGATTTTATAATTTCTCTTCCAGGCCTACTTGTCCATGTCATCTCAGCAACATCTTCCTGGCTTGTCTAATTGCAAGGAAGCGGAAATAGACAGCTCTCTCATGGAAATATCTAAGAATGTTATTGCAGCTTTCAATAGTCTAAGAGGAGCAGATAAGTAAGCTTCATTTATCTCTCTGTAATTTTCTTCGTTTTATTTCTCTATATTTTCTTTTCTGCTAAGGCTGTAATGTTACTACATGTTATGCGCGCAACAATTATGTCAGTATGAGCAATCAAGCTCTAGGATCATGTGGAGTGGCTAACATATCAATGTCGATTTTGCTGCACCTTATTTCTTAAAGAAGTGCATTGTATATCTCATGTTGTAGGAGCATTGAGATTTCATCCCTTGGAAAAGAGGCACTATTTACAGCTGCAATGATCATTCAAACAACTTCATAGGAGGTCAAGAAGAGATGCAGATGACTTCTGGTTTTCAAAGGGTCGCATATTGAAGGTAACTTGCTTGGCCATCACTGTATATAAATGACAGGGACTTCAGTAACTTATTTAGTTGTTGTACCTAAATCTGTTGTCATCCAACATTGCATTTGTGACTTTTGGACTCAAAAAAATATGCATCCAGCTTCATAGCTTTCAAACCTGGGGTTCTCTTTTCTGTTCTTTTTAAATTTCCATTACAACTGAGAGGTTGCATAAGGTAATAATAAAAAATTTCAGTAGTCGAGAATTACTAAAAACAGAAGCCCTGACCTTCTTGAATCCCTAACTCAGTAGAAAAAGAAATTTCTAAAAGCTGATTTTATATAAAAAGGTTGAATTTCCATCTGAATAGTAGTACATTATTGTCTTACACCCACAAAACTATCTAAAATTTTAGGTGTTTGTGACCAAATTCTAGAAAGATCTGTCAAGAAATAGTATCCAATCCATCAACTTAGGATTCTTCTGCCATCTCAGTTGTATTCCTGAAAAGGTTCAACCTTGTTTTAGCATGTAAATTTCTGACTTGATTGTGGAACATTAATCATGACAATAACTAAATATTAAACAATTAGAGAGATCACTAAGGCTAGTGATACTCACTTCGGTGGTTGCGAATCAAGCTGCATTGTTACTGGCCCATCATTGACCAAACTAACCTTTAAATAAGTATAAAGATCTGAGTCAGAATACCTCCTGAAGAAAGTTTCTACTCAGAAAGCAAGGAGAAATGATACTTTGGGGGTAGGAGAGCCTCACCTTCATCATTGCTCCAAATACTCCATCTACACCATATGACCAAAATGAGTCAAACATAACTTTATACACATTATTCATCATCTACTAAATAAATTACAGTATGTTTGAGACAATCTTTTGCTCTTAAAACTTGGTCTGGGCACATCTCCAGTACCTAATTGAATATTTGGCAAACAACTATTTGGCTGCATATATTTTGTCTAAATGACATCAGTAACATGACAGATTTGATTCGTACATGGTTCAAAACGCTCAATAGGTTTGTGAAAATAATTGAGTCTTTGAGTATGAGCTTCTATATCACATGCTGTTAATGCTTAGCATATAGATCTATCATCAACATACATTTGTGCTTAGAATATTGTTAATTTACATCTTTACATTCAAAGACATTCTATTTAGTACTGAATAATATAAAAGAATACATCAATGCATTACAAATGATCTAAAACTTATTTAAAAGATGAAAAAAAATTCAGTAATTGATGGTAAATGGAAATAACCTTTTATTGCGTCTGGTTTATAACCTTTTCTGAATTTGTCAACTTAAGATTCGTAGAACGGTTTTGCTTTCTGTGGTGGCATTGCTACATGGAAGTCTTGCCTGTTACCCTTCAAGAATCCATACAATGTAAATTGGCTCACTGCAATGCCAAACAACTTTAGAATTCAGAATCAGAATTCGTTTCTTTTTTTTTTCTTTTTTGTTTAGAAGGCCAAGAAACAATGGAAAAAAAAATTTAAGCATCAGGATTTCCTGGTAGAACTCCATAATTACGTTGCATGACCTGAAAATTATACCAAAAATTGAAGTCACAACTTTAATCTTAGTGTAAAACCTCAACTCTTTACACAGCAATTTGGAAAGGAAAACGGGAAATTACATTCTGGTTCCATCCTTTGGCAGTACTTTCATTAGGGAACAATCCCATGTTCAAAACCTTTCTACATTTGCAAAAGATTAACCATTTCATTTTTCACTGCAAAAAAACTAAAAATTCTAATGAATTGGATAAGATAGAATGCACGGAAATGTTTTATTACATGTAATCGGCGTCAGATTCGGTGTCGGAATCGTGGAGTCCAATGAGAACGAGGAGACCAGATCCGATTTCCGACACAAGGCGATCATCGACCTGGGAAAACAAAATGCTAAGTTGATGTTTAGGATAATAAGCAGATATTATTTGTAGTTTAAGGTGGATTGGTTTTAGACTGACCTCTATGCTGGCAGAGGCGACTCTTTGGACCACGGCTCTCATCGCCGTAATTTGTAGGTTTCGGTGTTTCTTCAATGGTACAAGAGTTTTCCGCTTATTTTTGGTTCGTATTATGGAGGCGAAGGAGGGGAAACGGAAAGTGAGTACAAGGATTTTGCGGCCTTTTCTTAAAGTCCACCTTTTTCGGCCAATTCTTAAAGTCCACTTGAGACAGCTATATGCATACAATTAATTAATTATAGTTTAGTGAACTCCGAATTTGAATGTACTTCTTTGTTTTCTATTTCATGTGCAAATGTTATATTGATCGAGGTCATTATAGTTTCAGAGAGAATCTAAAAATTCTCTTCTCTATGTGCATGCTACAATCTTTTCCTTTTCTCTCCATGCCTTCTTCCCCATTACCAATTGAGCGGATTTTGTCCGTCGCTGCTGATAAGGCCTGGAAGAACTTTGCCTTATCCTGACCAAGAGATTCGACCAGAGGCTTGGTCCTCTGGTCCAAAAATAGACCTTGATCCGTTGCTAACAAGCCCAATTTGCTCTCTATATTTGCATAATAAGCATATGATCGAATAAGAATGGCGTGGTGACATCAAATGAAGCAACAATGTCAGCATTGCTACCAACATGTGGGCACGACTATTTTAGGGCCTTTAGTAGCCTTGGATTTATGGAAGGTTCTGCTGCTGAGTGCACTTAAAATAGTTGAGTCGGCCCGCAAAGTTCTTGCAATGAGCACAGCCGATGGTTTGTTTCACCTGACAGAACAACTAGGTCCTGGACGGTCAACCCCTTGGAGCTGAAGAGTTTGATCAGTTGATCGACGGTTGAATTTGCACTTGAGAGGTTTTAGGCCATTGATATTTTCAGATCCCACTTTCCTTTTTCGTAATATTTTCCAGTGGGCTAGATCTAGTATCATTAGATTGTGATAATAAGACCTGAATCCAGCCCAAGATAAAAACCTTTTTGTAAAAGACAAACGTATTTGGGCAAAGTTTGTGGGTATATCCAAGTTTTGTTCTGTTCACAATCAGCGCGCGTAGTTCTCTGAGTTCTCTCTAGTTTAGAAATTCGCTACGCTGCAATTGCGCGCACATCGTTTGATAAAATCACCCATCGAATCGAGTTGGAGCTGAGTTGACGGCGCACCTAAAAACTCGAAGCTATGCAACGGTTAACGTCAAGAATCACCAGAACCACAAAAACTTCCTCTTCACTCAGAACTATCCTCCTCAACGAAGCACCATCTTCTTCTTGGCTTCCAAAGCGCAGCTTCTCTGCTTTCTCTTTGCAACAACATGTCAAAAACCAGCAAAATGAAGCGATCCCAGGAGATTTCTTGAAATGGGGTTCGCTTGGCTTTTGCAGGACTTCGAGGTTCGCGACTGGGTTTACGCCTTTAAAACCCAAGCCATTGGATTCCATAATGGATTTGGACAGAGCAAAGAACCGTTCACCTGAGGACCTTGCTTCTATTTGGGATGATGTAATGTACCCAATTACTCAACTTTTTCTTTATTTTTTCCCTTTCATTTTTTATGTTATTATATTATAAGAGAACAAATTGATTAAGCATTTTCTTTTATGTTCAGTATCACTTGGGAAGAGGTCATATTGGGTTGACCATGAAGGCAAAACTTTACCGTTTATTGGAACAAAGAGGCTCAGATTGGTAATCCATTTTGTTCTATAGTAGTTTTTTGTTGTTGCAAACACATTATTTGGTATCGTAATTCTTGCTAGTCTTACTTCTATCTGTCCTAGCAGCCGATATTTTGTCCTTCCTTTGTGGAGAGGAAGTGGTTATACAACGATGTTTGCTCAAGGTTTGTTCACTAGTCTTTGAATTTTGTCATTTTGTTTTTACATGAAAGTTGATTTCTTCTGTGTGTCTTGGTTGAATTCTTTGGTCTATGGACTACATAATCTTGGACTCAACTTAGGGAAAGTATTTTGTATACAGAATGCTCATAATCATGTTATGTTATGAGTTACTGAATTGTGTGTGTAGCAATTAAATGCAGTAATGTGTTTGTTATCGATCAAGATAGTATCGGTTTACAGTCATAACTATTCACAAGTTTGTCATTCTTTTCTTTAACTTACTGTTGGTATGATACTATGAGGCAAAGCATCATAGCTGGTATGGCTTCTGTAGTTCAGGAGAGCCTTGGAAATGCCTTGGCTATGAGTTATTTTTAATTTTCTGAGGAATTTCTGCAGGAGTTTCAATGGATTGACCATTTTGGTGTATGGATAATAAATCAAAGAAGCGTTACCTTTCAGTTGTTGATTTCCAAATATTTGTGATGAATGCTTATGGAATCTGTTAGCATTTTTGTCTATGTTACGCAGTAGGCTCCCTCATCAGGATTTTTAGATGCTAGTGAAGTAGACAAACAAGTTTGTATCCCTCAATGAACATGTTAGTTTGCTCAAATGTCTATTCAAAATTTTCTTGCAGTGCAGTTACCACACATGCTTTTCACTGGTCTTGAAGATTACAAAGCAAGAGGAACTCAAGCAGCTCCTTATTTCAGTGCAACCTTTTACACGGAATTTGCAGAAAGCAAGGACTTGGTACTCATTCGTGGAGATATTGTTTTCACCAGCAAGCTTAGCGATGAGGAATCGAAATGGCTCCTAGAAACCACACTATCTTTTTATCTGAATGATGCGAGGTACAAGCTGGTTGATCGTTTTAATAAAGAACCACGTGATTTTGAGTTCAAGGATGTGTTGCGAGCTCTAGACATGCCCATTCTATAACTTCTTTAAATGACTTTTGCTGAACGGAAATTCTTCTTTTCGAAGAAGTCTGAAGGAATAATGTTTTTATCAGAGGTCTTGCTCGATACTACTTGTTCCACTTTCAAGAAATTATTGAAATTATCTCGAGGAAAGAGGATGGTCTTGAGATGATTTGTTGTGTTCCTGAGTGAACATTGAAGAGGGATTATTTTTATATGAGTTGTTATACTCTATTTTTTTTTCTGGGAAAATTGGAAACTCTGATTTTTTTATTATGATGATAAAGAACTCAAGTATTTTAACTTAAAAACACATATAATTAAATAAATTAACACAAAAAGTCAACTAAAAAAGTTAATAAACCAAAAATATGCTAGCTTCATGCTCAAGTTAACCCATAAAAAAAAGCTTAAAAGTAAATTTCAATATGGCAGTTTTTGATAGTTGTCATTAGGTGGCGTATTGATTTAAACATATGGCTTGTGGGTTTTAACGGCTCACATGTTATTAAGTCACGGACCGCAAACCTAAAATGCTGCGCAGAAATAGAAAAATGATAAAGCAGAGTCGTTTTGATGAAGAAAAAGTGAAAAACGGATAATGTTATAGTAATGGGCCGGACCGGGACAGGGACAGGGACAGGGACCGGGCGATTCGAGGAGGTCCCATTAAAACGAAAATAGCCGTCCTCTTCTTTCTTCGTTATTTCTTGAATTAAAAAAAAAAAAAAAACCCTTGACTCTTTTCCAAGTTCTCTCTCAGGTTTCCTCCTTTTCACTCTTTACGCTCATTTAATTCCACTCTTTCGTTTTTTTCTGTCTTAGTTTCCTAGTAACCAAACAGAGAATAAAAAACCCAGAAAACCCACTCAAAGTACTATTTTTTTAAAATTTCTCTGTTTCTCAAAATAGTATAATTTTTTCAGTTAAATTCTATTTTTTTATGGTAATATTATTTAATTTCAGTCTCTCAGTTGTATCCATCCTTTAAATCCACCAAATGACTGACACTTCCGAGGAAGCCAAGCAAATCGAGAAGCTCTACGAGTTCGGGGAACGCCTCAACGAGGCAAAGGATAAGTCTCAGGTTGGCCTCTCCCTCCCTCCCTATCTCTTTTTATATTCCTAGGGTTTTCCTTTTCTATCTTTTAACTTGTCTAATTTCTGATACAGAATGTGAAAGACTACGAAGGAATCATCGATGCCACGAAAACAAGCTTAAAGGCGAAGCAATTGGCTGCGCAGCTAATTCCTCGCTTCTTCAAGTTCTTCCCTAACCTTTCCAGCCGTGCTCTCAATGCCCATTTCGATTTGATTGAAGAAGAAGATTTGGCTGTTAGTTCGCATTTTTTTACTAATAAAATACTATCTTATTCTATTTTATTTACCATATTTGGCTACTGACAAAATTGGGGGAATTGAAGTAGAATTTTTACTAATTATTTTCAGTCGAATTAAATTTAAACTTTTTTATAGGTTCGGGTGCAAGCCATTCGGGGGCTTCCTTTATTTTGCAAGGATACAAAGGAGTATATTTCTAAAATAGTAGACATTTTAGGGCAACTCCTTACTGCTGGTAAAAATGGAATTCTTTTACTAGTTTTTACAATCACTATGTCAAAGCATTTGGGTTTTTTTTTTTTTGTGTATTTAACCTCGTCTTGGCTTTACTTTGTTTCTTCTAGAGGAAATTGTGGAGCGCGATGCTGTTCATAAAGCCCTAATGTCTGTATTGAGGCAGGATGTGAAAGGTAATGTTACATTCTCAGGAAGTCTAGTAGATGTACGCATTAAAATTTTTGTAATGGTGAAATTTGACTATAAGTTGTTGGTAATGTTACGTGTTTGAGTTTTTAGACCAAATTTGTTCGAATTCAAGTCTGGTTATATTGATACTTTGAGTTGATAGCATTCTTTATCAGTCAAGGCACCTTTCATGGTTGTCTAATGTCTCCTAAATTCATTACATTTGGTTATTTTGCTTTTTTGATGAAGTGCTTCTTTTAATGTGACTTATGGCTATAAATGTGGGTCTTATGGTTCATGTTGCCTCTATTTCTTTTCCTCTTGAATGGGCAAGAACATGTTTGGGTTGTTCAGGGTAGGTCAAGAGCTTTGTGAATAAAGGAACTTTGGGCATCTACCTAATGAAATACTAAGTAAGATTATGATGTTTGTCTTGAGAAGTGTAATCAACCACTTTCTTATGCAGTCATATCCTTGTAAATTTGGTATGAATCAATGATGCAAGCCTTCATTTTCTGGAATTTTTCTTTCTGGTTTTATCCCTTGGTGACTAGATTATTTTTGAATGCAGAGTCCTTGACAGCACTATTCAAGCACATTTGGAATGTTGAGGAGCCAAGTCAAGATGACACTATTCGTGACAAGGTTTTGTGCTTTATAAGAGATAAGGTTAGGACTGCCTCTAGGTTTGCCCATTGTTGCTATTCTTGTGCTTTGTTTTGTGATGATAAGTGAGGGGAAATCAACAACATTTGTAGGTTTTTCCTCTTACAACTGAACTCTTGAGGCCTCAGGAGGAAATGGAAAGGCATATAACTGATTTAATTAAGAAGGTACTACTTTGATTTTACTACCTTAACATTCATCATTGTATCTAGTCTCTCCTTCTTCCCACAGATTTGCAAAATTTCAATTTTGAACTTGGAGTGGAAGATACTGGATTTATTTTATTTAATTCCATTGCAGAGTTTAGGAGACGTAACTGGAGCTGAATTCAGAATGTTTATGGACTTCCTAAAAAGTTTGAGCTTATTTGGGGAGAAAGCTCCTCCTGAGCGCTTGACGGAACTTATTGGAATAATTGAAGGGCAGGCTGATTTAGATGCACAATTTGATGTGAGTGCTTGTTTGCTGAATATTGGCTTCGAATCTTTTCTTTATGATGCATTACATATACCAAATTACCTCTTTGTATAAATTAGTGTATATATTCATTAGAAAGGGTGTGGTACCATAAAATATTAAAAATAGTTTTACTAGTCAACACTGTCCTGTTGAGGTTCACCATTGCACTGTCATTGTTGGGAACTTACTGTGTAACTATTCAAATGGCTTTTGGATGCAGGTTTCAGATGCAGATCATATAGATAGGTTGATATCATGCCTGTTCATGGCTCTTCCATTTTTTGTGGTAGGGACAATATATGATATTACTGAATATCTACTTTTCGTCCATTAAATATTCTTCTGGTATATGAACATTCTTAGCTGTTTCTTACCTCTAAATCATTTTACAGAGGGGTGCATCTGGCAGCAAGTTCCTTAACTACTTAAACAAGCACATTATACCTGTTTTTGAGAAGGTGAAATACTATTTTGTGATCTCAATTACTGCAACAAATGTAATCTAACCTCATTTTGCATGAATGCTGATATCATTACAGTCAAAATACATTCATTCTTGTTATTTCCTTCTTAACTGTTAGCAGTGTTATTTTTATACTGAATGAAAAGTGCTTTTGATTAATTTTCTAATCTTGAGTGATTATGATGATTTGCATGTTGTCATAAATGTGGATGAATCTTAAAAGTTTTTCTTTGAGCTCATGAGCTTTTGCATTTATCTTTTTCTATTTGAAGTACTTGAATTCCTCTATTTGGCTTTATTTTTTGTTAATAGTATATGTTTATTTTAATCTATTTTCCTTCTTTTTGGTGGGAAATCTGGAAAAGGCGTGGAAGTGTTAATGCAAAAGTTGCATGTTATATGGTTCAGACTAAATTCTGAATGGCAGCAGACTTTGCTGGAAAGCTGCACATAGGCAATAATATCAGCTGCATTTATAAAATTTATGAACACCTTAACATATACTAACGTCCATTTATTACAAAAATTCAAAATGCCAATGCCTTAGAAGCTCTGGAAAGGTTTCTTAAATGTGATGACTTGTCTCTTGGTCATTTTTGTACATCTGAATGTTCCCTGAAAATGGGAAAGTCTTTTTTTTTTTGTAGAAATTTTTGGGGAACCTTTTTTTTTTAATTGAAGACTCTGGCATGACCTTCTATTTGTTCTACTGAGTAGCTAGTATTGTGGTAAGGAATATATTCTAAAATGTTCGTGTCTTACAGCTTCCGGAGGAACGAAAGCTAGATTTGCTCAAAGCTTTAGCAGAAATTTGTCCTTACACAACACCGCAGGATTCACGCCAGATTCTTCCTTCTGTTGTTCAGCTTTTAAAGGTATGGGCGTGCATTTTCTTATCATATCTTTTTGAATTCTTAGAGTTTTGTGATAATTAATGTCTAACATGTGTTTATATTTATATTGGCTCTGTTTATTTGTAAATCTTTTTTTCTTTCTTTCTTTCTCAGAATTACATGCCTCGGAGGAAGACTGGAGAAGAAACAAACTTTACCTATGTCGAATGCTTGTTGTTTTCATTTCACCATTTAGCTCACAAGGTTTTTTTTTTCAAATTTATTTAAAAACAAAATTTTCTTTCCGATCATCCTGTTATATAAATTTATATTGCGCAATGCTTATTTGATTATTATTGTTACACAGGCTCCCAATGCCACAAATAGTCTATGTGGTTACAAGATTGTGACTGGTCAACCATCAGATAGGCTTGGGGAGGACTTCTCAGAGCATTATAAGGACTTCACTGAGAGGTAACCTACCATCTCTTCCCCACTATGCTATAAATTTATAAAAAATATAAAATAACTAATTTTTTTTTTCTTGCTGTATTTTAATGAAAGTTTTCTCTGTTTATAACAGTCATAATTTATTTTCGTTTGTTGGTGTAACCAATAAGTTGATCTCCTTGCAGACATATTCTTCGTTTCTTTTCTCTTAAAAATTCTTGTTGTAAGAGTGAACGGAAGATGAGCAACAAAAATATTATATCAATAAAATCTGATACGAGCTATTTATGTGTCACTAGATGGAGTAGATCAGACAGACATCTGTTAATGGCCTGTTTCTTTCTTACCCCCATTTGTTCCTGGTTTTAAACAAGTCCTTAAACTGATATATATGTAGAATTAATGAATTATTTGAGATATTTACCAATGACTTCTATTTTAAAGGGAAAAAAAAAAGAAAGATGCAATCTACCAAATGATCTGTACACAATTCATTAAGGAACAAATAATTGCTTAAGGCTTGCCTAAGGTAAGGCTGTAATCCATTGTTTAACTTCAACTTAGAAGTCCAGGTTGGCTGCAAGCTAAACTCACAAACCAGTCTAGCATGCTCCGATGGAAAGGAAAATTTGAAGTGTCCTCAAGCCTATCTTCCTCATTTAAATTGTTGTCATCATTGTTGATAATGCTCCTTGTCTACTGTTCATACTATCTTTTTCATGAATGGTGATCCAGATTGACTAGTGTTGAAGACCTAACTAGGGCCACCATGAAGAAATTAACTCAGGGAATGGCTGAGCACAACAAAGCAATGGCGGCTGCTAAATCTGATGAAGCAAAGGATAGCATTGTGAGTTTATTCTTAGAAGAACCTATATTTTAGTTTGTTTTCTGTTTCCATTTTGACTTTATCCTTAATTTTCTGCTCGCAGAAAGCTCTAAAGCAGAATACTACAATTGGATTACGTACCTGCAATAACATTTTAGCTATGACAAAGGTAAAAGGGAGTGAAATTTTTCTTCTAGTTATATAGCATGTGCCATGTGTGCCTAAACTCTCAGCGGCTTATCTTTTATTATTTACCTGTTCAGCCCTTGCATTCAAAAACACCTGCATTTATTGGAGATAAGAGTGTCAATCTTTCATGGAAAGAAGCTGTAAAACCTTCTGTGCCCCCCAGTGCAACTGCAACTGGGTAAGTTACTGTTGTTTTCTGCTAATTGTTAGATTTCTTTCTACCCTTCATGTCTTTTGGCTTTACTGAGATTCAGACCCACATGATTAACCTGATGTGGGGGTTGCTGAGCCATATTAACTTTAATAAAATTGAATCAAATAAAACTACTCTCTTTCATACATGTCTGAAGTTGAGTCTTGCTATAGTGTTCCCCTTAAACAAAACAAATTCTATGTTGTATAATTGTTGTGCAGGGTGAAGCGACCTACTAATGCAGCTAATGGAACCAATAATTTGGTGACAAAGAAAGGCCGTGGAGCTGGTGGTATGCAAAATCAGCTTGTTAATAGAGCATTGGAAGGTATATCTTATGGTGGGAGGGGTGGTGGAAGAGGCAGGGGTAGGGGTTGGGGAGGACGTGGAAGAGGAAGAGGCTACCGGTAATTTGATGCATGGAATAGAGTACGATGACAATCTGAATTTGGAGAATCTGTTTGTACCTGAAGAATATGAAGAGAAGTCATTGATGTGTTAAAACCTTACTCTCTTTTCGGGACAAGTTTTGTTTGATGCAGGATGCTGATGAGTTTCTAGATTCATTGTGGACTAACAACAGTCCTCTGGAGATTGTTTTAAAGTTGATTGGATAGCATTAGGGATTTGAGTTCCTAATCCTATTCAAGTTAGTGCATTTGAGGAACCATTGCATGCCGTGCTTCTTAAGAGTGTATGGAAGGCTGTATCTTAATGACAGTTAGTTTCGTTAAGGATGAATATTCAGACCTGATTATGTAGAAAGTGACTTTAGCTAAGTTAATAGTGAAGACAAAACAATTAAACTTGACTGTTGCTCTTGAAACTTGATCTACAGATTTTGGGTTGGGTGCAAATCAAGCATTAGTGGCGAGAGAATGAGAATTTGAACTCTGTAAGTCTTGTACATTTGTTGCATGTATGATTTAGTTAAACTAGTCTGTGAATGGAGCTCAAGTTCTCCGGACAAGGTATTTTGACCACCCTTTAGAATAATACACTTAACATTTAGTCACATCTGGTGTTACCGGGAAGAGGTGAATTATTCTAAAATGATACAACTATATTTACAGTACAACTGAATTGAAGATGAACTATGAAACAAGTTACAAATATTTATATCTCGGCCAAAGATTCTTTGTTAACAACTTGGAATCCCATTTCAATCTCAGTTTGTTCTTCTTGTGATGATGCCCCGAGATTCTCCATGTTAGTGTGACTTGGACTCTGAACATAATCCGACGTTGAAGAGCTCCATTCATCGATATTAGGTGCTGGAGGAGCTGCTGAAGCATCCCCTTGAATACAAACCTCTCCATGATAAAGATATTTGGCAACTCTAATTGCCTTGATCCAAACACTCACATTGACTGGAGATAAGTTGCCTACATAATCCCCTTGATGGCGGCAATATTTCTTTAGTAAGCGAGTAAGGAAGAGTAGCAAACAAACGGTGGATGTGGCCCCAGATATAATGTAAAGACCCCAGAAGCTGTGGATGCTCAAGCTATCGGTTCTACTGTCGGTTACATTGACTGAACACTCTGGGGAAGGAGCAAACCACTTTTCTTCCAATGACTTTAGGGTCCCATCTTCAGATAGCTTTAAAATGGCTCTTGAAACATCAGTGGCTATCGGAGAACCTTTCTGAAATACCTGCATATAGAGAGTTAAAGAAGTTTCTTTTAACAAATTTTGTAGCAAAGTTACGTTGGTGAATAGCAATTCTAAAAGAACATCGAATTCCAGGAAAGAATAAAATCCTTGAATCAGTTATAGCTAGAGAATAAAATCCTTGAATGAGTTTATAGCTAGGTAAACTAGGAGAAAGAAATTACACTATTGTTCTTTTCTATGAACTTATCCTTTTTAATCTCTTCCAGGCTAGGAGGAGTTCAACATTCTAAGCAAATACATATGCTTAGGTTGGCTTCTTCAGAGTTCAGTTGAACTTCCAAGTGCACCAGCAAATTTTAGAAGTCTAGAAACATTGGAGAGGACTGAGTATTTTTCTTCCCTTTTCCTTTTTAGCCTTTCCTGGTAATTTCTTGTTGAAAAACATAAGATGCCTTATTAAGTTTTAGTAATATACTCACAAAGCCTAATCCACCAAATCTGTACGTAGGTGTGGTAGTGGTAAATTGCTTGCAGTAATGACTGAGGAAGACTTTCCCATACGGTTGTTCAAGAAAGGCAGCAGATATGTTGCTGCTCTTAAATTCCCCTTCATAATTGTATTCACTGCTGACATTCTCGATATTATAACTTTTAAACTCCAGGACCTCCTCCAAGTAGGTCCGTACAAAGGAATCTCCATCACAGCCAATTTTCACGTTGGCCCTCTTTAGCCATTCAATATCTGTAATATTTGGTTCCAATCGCTGCACGGTGAGCATTGAAGTTAGGCTAGCGGTGTAGCTTGAGTTTAAGATTAACACAACGAAGAGCCATACTAAAACCACCACACGAGTGAGGTTACTATAAATTTTCTCCCCTGCAGAAGTCAAACAATGGAAATATGAATGGTTTTAAACGTTAAATTTTATCCACAAACAAGCCTCAATGTATGGACCATTTATTTATTTGATCTTGAATTTTATGCCATATTTGCTGTCAGCTATTAATCAGGGAAGTGCTTTCCATCAATTCTGTTTTTGCCAGCTAGTATATTATTACTTCTCTTACTAATTTGAGATGGAATTTGGTGCCAGTCTCTATCAGACTCTCAGTCGAGGGTTAGATGGTTGAATGCATTTATTTTTCCAAGAAGTTAGAATAGTTATGTATTCTTGGAAACTTACTGTGAGCAAAGAAAAGGGAGGAGAACGTGAACCAAAGTGCTGTGCCAATCTGATTCTTCCATGGGCCTTTAAATTCAGGATTGCACTGGTGCTCCAAGAACCAAACTATTAACATTGTGTAGGTTAAGATGGCACCAGTCACCAACCACATTTCCGCGGTGAAGGGTTTCAGGAACATCCATGCTGAGCCCTCTGACTTTGCTGGAACTATCATAGACAACCCTGACTCTGCATATGGCTGAGTAAATTCCACATAATCTGTCCTTGTAGCCAGTATAGTTATGTCGCCGACAGCTGCATCATAAGTCTTCCATTGAATTTGGTACACAAGAAAACAAAAAAAAATCTTATCAGAGACAAAATTATAGAAAAAGAAAACAAGACAAGAATCCAAATCATCTTGGACATCGTCATAGTTTTTCTTCACATCACCGTCGAAGTGTCAAGAAGGCCAAGTCAAAATCAAACAACTTATCTACAAACTTTCGTCGAAGTATAACTGAAGTATAGAAAATTCAAGAAAAACAAATAAAGGAAATTAAAATAAGAATGAGAAGTTTCATGGGTATTGAATCCAACATTGCTTGATTTTTTATTTTTTCAGACATGGTGAAGCTGTTGTGTTTGGAAAGTTTGACTTTATTGACCTTTGTTAAAAGGAAAAGAGATTCTCGGGTTACTTTCACAGTAACGTGTAAGAAACTCCTATTTATTACTAAACTAATTGAGAAATTGTTTAGTATAAGGAACAGGTTAACCACCAATGATTCATTGATTCCAAAGAGTAGCTATCAGAAATATAATGATCATAGAAAAAGAATGATAAGCTGGATACGGGGATAAAAGGTTCATTTAATTGGCGGAGGTTAAGAAGTATGAGACAGCTTGAAAGTATGGTCAAATTATATGAAACTTATCTTTGTCATAGATCCTTAATAACACAAGAATCAAAATTATCAATAAAAATATTTGACAAAAATGAATTGAGAGATAAAGGGCGATTACCTTGTTGTAGACTTTGAGAACAAGTTCATCATATGTGCCATTGTGGGGATCAAATCGATAAGGAAGGGCATAATCCAGAACACTTATAACTTTATAGAAAAGATCAATGCAGAAACCATCATAGTTCTTCTCGCCTGGATACTTACCATCTTCAACCTTAACAAATTTCTCAAATGAGGTTCTCGCCGGAACTCCAATAACCATTGGCTTTATGTTTGTAGGCATTGCCCATCCTTTTGGAACTAGCTTTAAGTCATCAGGCCAAGTGACTCTACCAGCCAAATCTACAGATATATCACCAACATAATCAGTTTCATTTTTGTTTACAAGGTTCTTTGAGAACCCAAGCCCCGGCAACCAGAAGTCCAACTCTTTATATTTTTTGCCGACCACGTTTACAATCCTTAGTATAGGATCATGAAACAGCTTGCCTTCTTTAAAACGAATTTCACTACTTAAACCAGTAAAATTGCTTGAAAAAATATTTTTCAACAATGTTTTTGGACTGGTTTCATCACTTTTCAGTTTCTCCATGGCCTGTGTGATGATTCCAATACCATCATATGCTCGTAATGCGTTAATACCTGGTTGAAAGTTATCTTCCTCTTGATATGCATTTCTGAAAGTTTTCCGGAACTGGGGATAAAATTTTTTGTAAGGACTACTATCCTCAGAATAATAGGTCTTGATTCCTAAAGTACCTTCCATAGAGGAAATCACTGAATTGTTAAACGAGTCGAGGTAACTCGAGATAGTGTCTGTAACTATCCAAGCTGAGTCTCTTCCCACGAGTCCAATCTTCTTAGCTTTTTCAAACAAATGTATTGTCATTGGTAAGGATGACTGAAGAACAATAAAAACCCGTGCTTGTATGTTCAGTAGCTTCATCAACTCCCCTTGGACAACTGTATTTGGATTAGACAGAGAAGAAAATGGTGGAAGAACCAATCGGTAGTCAATCTCTGAACCCACATCTTGAAGAGCCTCAGATAAAAGAGCTAACTTCCCAGAATCACCACCAAAGGCATCGTCCTCATAAATTACTATAACCCTTTTCCAGTTGAATGAACGAATGATAGCTGCTATAAATTTCATTTGCTCAGAATCACCATTAGCCATTCTTACCAAGAAGGGCCAGCGAGAGGCTGCTAATGGTGGTGTGATGGCTGGTGCTGCAAAAGAAAGAACTGGAACTTGAGCTCGGCTTCCAATTTCAGCGACCAGAGCTGCTTCTTCCCATGTCTCCATGCCAATGATCACTTTAACTTCTTTTTCTTTAATCAATTTCTGAGCTGCAATCAGATTTAGTATATATATATATAACCATCAGTAAAATGCCCCACTGATATATGAAGATTCAGACTAACAGAAAGGAAGCAGAATTGAGATAAAAAGAGGACTAACCAGCAGTTGCAGCTTGGAAGGGGTTTCTTCCAGAGTCCTGAATATAGAGGGAGAGTTTGTGATTGTTTGAATTATTGTCATTGAAATTTTGAACAGCAATTTCCAAAGCTGTTTTCTCTTCCCTCCCAATACGCGAATTAGCATCAATGATTGCACCGATGTTAGTAACCTTGTTAGCATTCGTACCGGTCTCTTCTCCTTGGGAAAAAAGGAGGAGAGATACGAACACAAAAAAGAAAAGCCAAAGCTTCAAAACTCTATTGCCAAAAATGATACAGCGAGGTTGTTGGACTTTGACATCACAGCAAAAAGTCTTATCCATGTTGTTAAAGAACTCGTAAAATGTGTGCAAAACCAAAACTAATGAAAGAAAAGGCTTCCTAATTGCATGTTATATATGTAAGACTCTCTGAACTTTCAAAGCCTCAAGTTCCACGAAAAAAAGTTGTTACAGAGCCGGAAATGTAAAAGTTCTGTGCCAAAATATTTAGCCTATACTGTTGGACTTGGTCTGCCACGAAAAGTCAACGAGGCAATTTAATCGAGAATCTTCTTCAAGCCCCTTTTCTGGTTTTCCTGTTAAACGAAACTTGGAAAAACCGAGTAAAGTCATGCTGCAATATTTGACACTGTAACAGGATCAGAATGAGGTTTGACCCTTGATTCTATTTCAATGGGACGAATATATAAACATAATCAATATGTCTAGAACTTGAGAACTACGACCGAGAATCATTACATTCAATTTAGGAAAACTCAGCATAATTTTTTTTTACCTCGAGTTACCACCTAAAATAACTTAAGAGTTAAGACACTTGCGAAGATAACTTTTTTATGCTTGGTTATAGTAAAATAATGGTGCATTTAATCATTCTATAAGCTTTGTCAAAATTTGTAATTACAAAGCTACAAATTACTTTCCATCAGGTTAGTGGGGGTAATACGCTCAAGTCATTCATGAAACTATAAATGGTTTGGGTAAGTCATTTATCTTTGAACTTTTTACACAATATAGCCCTATATAAAGTGTACCTAAAATTTAAATTTGAAAGTTCCTCACATTTGTCTACTAAAATAAAACAAGTAGCTATGTTATGCTGCAGCTATGATGGGAATATAAAAGCTGTCGATCTATTGATCAGCATAGATTTCTTCTTTCTTCTTCCTAATCTTTTTCAGCAAAAACATCATAGCATTTCAATCTTATCTGCTGATGAGGAGTCCGGGAGATCCTCCTGGATGTCAGAGTGACTCACATAATCCCACTTTGAAGATCTCCGTTGATTTAAACTCTCTGCTCGAAAAGAAGTTGAAGTGCTTCTGAAACTTCTTGGAATATCAACTTCACCTTTGTAGAAGTATTTTGCAAGTCCAACAGTCTTGTTCCAAGTGCCATTTCTTCCTGGAGTAGCATGGTCTCTGAATGCTTCTTGCTGATGCCGAAAATTCTTTAGTAGCCTAAGTAAGAATATTAGAAAGCAAAGAGTTGAAGTGGCAGCTGATATAGCGTAGATACCCCAAAAGCTGTGGAGGCTCAAACTTTCAATTTTCGTGTTTGCTGCATTACACTCGGAAGAGGAAGAAAACAAACTTGTTTCCAATGATGTCAATTTTCCATTCTCTGATAGGTTCAGAATGGCTCTAGAAAAATCAGCAGCTATGGGAGAGCCTTTTTGGAATGCCTGCATAAAATGCAAGAAGTTGTTTTCAGTTTTCATTTTAGTGTAGAAATGACCGTCAATTATTAAAGAAAAGGCAAAAGAAATGAAGCAAAAGGACTGTTTAATCTCTAAGAGCCTTGATAAAATTTTTAAGGTAAGCAAATTTGTTCGTGTAAAACTATTGATATTCAGGGCATTTAAGCTGTAATCACTACTTACAAAGCCAAAACCTCCAAATCTATAGGTTGGTGAAATGGATGCGTATCCCTTGCAATACTTATTCAGGAAAACATTTTCATATGGGACTTCAAGAAAGGCTGCATCTATCCGTTTGTTTTTGAATTCTTCTACGTAACTGGATTCGCTACTGTTCAAGATATATATTTGTTCTTGTTTGAAGGTAAGCACATTCTTCAGGTAATTCTTGATAAAGGAATCATTATCACAACCAACATATGAGCCTCGCTCTCTCACTGATTCGATATTTAGATTTGATTCTAGCTCTTTGACGGTAAGCAATGAAGACAGACTAGCAGTATAGCTTGAGGTCAAGATAAATACAAGAAAAAGCCACACTAAGACCACCACCCGAGTGAAGTTGCTATATATTCTCTCCCCTGCAATAACCATGGGCATATGTATTAGGCTACCAATATATCAGGAAGTTTTTTTGGACAAAACCTCCTAACCACTGACATTCAGGGTTACTAGAAAAAAAATGCTTGCTTGTTCATTTCTACCCTGACACTTACTGTGAGCAAAGAACAGAGAAGAAAAGGTGAACCAAAGTGCAGTGCTGATTTGATTCTTCAATGCTCCTCTAAATTCTGGATTTGAGCGATGCTCCAAGAACCAAACTACGAACATTGTGTAGATGAACAAGGCAACGGTCACCACCCACATTTCTGGTGCGAAAGGCTTCATGAACATCCATTCCGAATCAGACTTTGCTGGAGCTATCATTGACAGTCCTGATTCCGCAAAAGGCTGAGTAAATTCCACGAGCTCCATCCTTTCAGCTAGTATTGTTATATCACCAACAGCAGCATCAAATGTCTTCCATTGGTTTAGGCATGCAGTAGCAGGAAAACAATCTTTATCAGAACAATTGAGAGAAAATATGTTTTAAAACAAGAATCAGGAATCTTATATTAATGTTTGCTTTTTACTGATACGATCAATCTATATCACCGCCCTACCAAGGACTTCTTTCAAGTGGAACAAGTCAAATATTGTAGGCAAACTACAGGAGAATAGTATCAGTATGGCAGAATAACTTGAAAACATGAAGGAGACGAGAATTTCAGGTATTTGAGAAAACCAAAAAGTAGAGGTACTTTATAGGCCATTTCTTCTAAGTTTGAGTATTTCCAGCTACCTTTGGCATTGTAAATTTTGACTCTGCTGAATTATGGAAATTTCCCCGCACTAAACCCTACAAATTGCTCAATTATATAAATGGAACTTAGTCTCAAAAGCTACCCAGCTTTTCTTGATAAAAACATATATCATCCACTATAGTATAAACTCTAAAATTTGGATCATAAATCATAATGCACATTTAGATAGTTTTGTTAGTGAAACTCTGTTAACCGTTTTCACAAATTTTATGCACAAATCAGACAGATATAATATAAATAATTTTGAAGGTCTATGTAAATTTTTTGTCAAATGATGTTATGTACAGCTGATGTGAAGATTATTCCTATTAGAAAGCTGAGACAAAGTCATTACCTTGTTAGAGACATAAAAAATGAGATCATCATAGGAGCCACTATGAGGCACAAATTCATATGGTAGATCATAATCCAGACTCTTCAGCACCTCATCGAAAAGATCAATACAGAAACCAGTAGGTCGAGTACCGGAGAGAAACTCCACAAACTCTTCAAATGATGTTCTCACAGGAACCCCAATTTTCATTGGTTTTTCAGCTGTAGGCATTGCCCATCCTTTTGGATCTTCAAGTGAGTTCCCTGGCCAAATCACTATCCCAGCCAAAGCTTTTACAGTTTCACCATCATTGGCACCACTATTTTCTCCTTCACTAGGAGTCTTTGAGAATCCAGATTTCGGCAACCAAAAGTCAATCTCCTTGTATTTCTTTCCAACAACATTTACGATTCTTAAGCTCTGAGTTTGGTTCAGCTCCCCTGCTTTAAAGCTTATTTTACCACTTAAACCATTGAAGTTGATCGATAAGATATTTCTTAACAACAATTTTTCACTCCTACGGTTACTAGTTCTTTTCATGGCCAATTCAATGGCTTTAATGCTATCATAAGCTCTAAGAGCATGAATTCCGGGCTTAAACTCATCTTCATTCGGATACCTGGATAGGAAAATTTCCCTAAATTGAGCATAAAATTTCGAATAAGATGAACTTTCTTCAGAATAGTTTTCTTTGATACCTAAAGCACCTTCCATAGAGGAAATAACAGAATGGTTGAATGAGTCCAGGTAGCTTGTAATGGAATCTGAAAGTATCCAAGCTGTGTTTCTCCCTACAAGTTCCATTTCCTTTGCTTCTCTGAACAAATGAATTGTCATAGGTGGTGACAACTTTAGTAGAATAAAAACCCGAGATTGTATTCCTGTTCTTATTAGCTTCCTTAGCTTTTCCTGAATGAACCTTTTAGGATCAGATAATGATGAAAATGGAGGTAGAACCAAGCTATGCTCAATCTGTGAACCAACTTTCTGTAGATTCTCTGATAAAAGGGCTAAGTTTCCTGAATCACCACCATATGTACCATCTTCATAGATGGCTACGACCCTTCGCCAATTGTAGGACTGAACAAGAGCTGAAATGCATCTCATTTGTTCAACACCATTGCTAGCCATTCTTATCAAGAAAGGCCAACGAATTGCTGCCAATGGTGGTGTCATAGCCGGTGATACAAACGAAAGAATTGGAATTTGAGCCTGGGTTCCAACATCAGCAACCAAAGCTGCCTTCACCCATGAGTCCATACCAACAATTACTTCAACCTTTTTTTTCTTAATCAGTTCTTCAGCTGCAATAGAAATACAGAAATCTCAGTCTCTGAGCCTCGAATACTATAAAACAAAAGAAAGAAAAGGTAATAAAAATATAATTAACCAGCCAAAGCCGCTTTAAATGGTTCTCTTCCAGGATCCTGGAAGTAAAGAGATAGCTTTTGGTTCCTTGAGTTATTAAAGTTGAAGTTTCCGACCGCAATTTCCAAGGCAGTTTTTTGTTCTTTTCCGATCCTGGAATTAGCATCAATGATTGCACCAATTCGGGTTTCTGTAACGTTTTTAATGTTGGCAGCTTCAGTTCCATGGATGAGGAAGAGAAGGAAAGGCACAGAGAGTAGAGGGAAGAGAAGGTAAGATGTGGAGATTTTGTTAACTGAAATGAGTGGGAAAGGCAGTTGGATTTTCAACTTTTTCATTGTTTTTTTTTCTTGCCAAGTAGTTCTCTTACTATTCTGTTGCAGCAAAAGTATTTATAATAGAAGAAGTATGCAATTGCTAGGAATCTTGGTCCATATACTTTTCTTTCTGTCTGCCTAATAATAAAAGTCAGCTGCGTAGCAGCCACAGGTTTTAGACTAAATCATTGGGGCATTCTACAACTCGGAGCTCTGCTAAGGAAAAATCAAAAGATACGGCTGAAGCCAAATGTGTTCAAGGCCGATCGAACAAAAGCCTAATGGCTTTGACGATGGTTGTTGGCAATGGTTTGTGGGAAGAGGCCTGGAACTATAAGGAGACTCCTGTCTAATGATATCGGAAGGTTGTTTGACATGAAAGATGAAATTGAAAAGTAAAAGGAAGAACAAATCAATGATCAAACTATATGCAATGAATGAGTTTGATGTTTCAAACTTTTGTTTCTGATGACCTCCCATTGTTGTGGAGTTTGGATAAGAATGAGAATTGAAATGTACAAATTTCTTGACATTCCTCTCTCCTTTCTATATATAAAAGAAGTTTCTATTGCTTTATGAAAAATGGCTTTGTTTGGCTTGAGAAATTTATTTTTATTTTATTTTTTAGAAAATAGTTGGTATTTTTTAAAAAATGTATTTGGCAAATGAAAATAAAAATTATTTTTTAAAAAATATAACAATAAGGAAATAAATATAATATTCAATAATATTACTATTAATGGCATTTAATTATCAATGTAATATATATTTATTAATTAATTATATTAAAAAATATTCAAATATGTTAACTTGTAAAAAAAAAGAAAAAAAGTAATGTATATATCTTATTTTCACAATTGAAAATATCTTTTTTTTTTTGTTTTTATATTTCAATCCATTTTTATTTTTATTTTCATGTTCAATTACCAAACATATTTTCACTAATGTTTTAAATTTTCCAAAAAGATAAAAACGAAAAATGGTTTTGTTTTTTGAAACCAAACACTACCTTATATTCTCTATTTTCTTAATTGAAAATATTATGCATTTACTTAATTTAACATACTTATTATTCCATAATTAAATAAAAGTATACATAAGCAAGTTTAGCATACTTTAAAAATAAGCAAATGAGGATTTTTTCCTTTTATTTTTAACATACTTTTGCCTTAAATGTATAATTATAAATTTGTTAATGAATAATATATTTAATAAACAATTGCCTTGACTCCAGGAATTTCATTAAAGATAATAAGTATTTTTCTTAATTCTATTAAGTATTTGACTTTGTATTTTGATATAAAGATTAAAATAATAATAAAAAACCAAAAACAACAATATCAAAAATATCAAAATGACCAAAAAAACCCTTAATCTTTGGGCTGGCATTTCCCCTTATAAATCACCCCCGACAAGAGCATTAATCCATCATCAAACAGTTAACACAGAAGCCCAAAGCAAAACAAACCACTACAGCCAACACCCAAAGCATTTTTCTTTTTGTTGACGAAAAGGCCGAAGCTTTGTTTTGAAACCCTAAACCGACACGAGAACCCTAAAGGCCTAACTAAACGGACACTGACACAACACTAACAGGACAGCGCAAGGGCTAAAAGCCCGATTATAGCCGTTAAGTACAGCAAGAATTCGGGTACTTTCCTAGAATTAGGAAACCAAAGCTTGACAGATGGCACAATTCTGGAAACCGGGAACGGAGAAGCCTCGACTTCTCGACGACGAGGAAGGCGGCGTCCTTTTCTTGTCTTCTTCTCTTTCTTCCTCTGCTTCTGGGTATCTCGCATACTCTTTTGCTTTAATTTTTGTTCTTTCAATTTTCTTTTCTTGTTTTCTTTTTTTCAATTTTTTTTCTTATTTTACAGATATGGGTACGCAAGCTTTGAGAAGCAAAGGCAGAGACTTCCAGTTTACAAGTATAGAACTGCTATTCTTTATTTGGTGGAGTCTCACGCTACTACCATTGTTGTTGGTGAAACGGGTAGTGGAAAAACCACTCAAATCCCTCAGGTTTTTTTTTTTCCTTGTATTCTTTTGTTTTTATTTGGTTATTAAATTGAAATATATATAATTTAAAGAAAAATATTTTTAAGTGCATATTATTTCTCTTTGTTATTCCAATTCTTTTTGGTTTCTTGGAATCTTGATTTAAGTATGCTTGAATTGCAGTATCTAAAAGAAGCTGGTTGGGCTGATGGTGGACGTGTTATAGCTTGCACGCAACCAAGGCGACTCGCTGTGCAGGTAGCATGCTACTATACTTTTTTACATTTCTCTCTGCGCTTTGGATGTATATATGTCAGCATTTAAGCATGTTAGCATTTTAATCTTTTTAAGGTTTTTTTTATAATTTTTTTTCTGTTTGTGCATGGAAATGTGTTCATGTTTTTGCTCAATAATTGCCATTATAATCTGATGCACAGGCAGTTGCTTCAAGGGTAGCTGAAGAGATGGGGGTCAAACTTGGAGAAGAAGTTGGGTACACCATTCGGTTTGAAGATATCTCTAATCCAGTGACTTATCTAATCAATCTTTGATCGCACAGTTATTATCTAATTCAATTCTGTTTTTAGGGTTAATGTGTATCTTGCAGGCATTGGCATATGATTTGATCATAGGAAAAACTGCCATAGATAACGATTTCATTTAGTGTTCTTGCAATTCAGTGTCCAGGATTGTGAAAGTTATTTCATTTTGACAGTACAGGATGTTACTAGGATAAAATTTCTCACTGATGGAGTCTTACTTAGAGAAATGATGGATGATCCTCTTTTGACAAAGTACAGGTAATAATTAAGATTGGTTAAATTTTCCTAATGGTGCAGCTAGTGGATGAGGGTCTCTTTTTTAAGTGAGGTAAAATAGAGTAAAAGTGTATATGACTTGGGCAGTGTCATTATGGTGGATGAGGCACATGAAAGATCCATTTCAACAGACATTTTACTTGGTCTTCTAAAAAAGGTAATACTTCTGATACTTGGCGACTGGAGTATCAGTGGTGGTAAGAAAGACTAGGAAATTTGCAACACTTTTTTTCCCTATATGTCCTGTACTTTTTTAAATCTTTGCTAAACATTGAAAATCCAGATCCAAAAGCGCCGACCTGAGCTGCGCCTGATTATTTCTTCTGCTACAATCGAAGCAAAATCAATTTCTAATTTCTTCCAGTCCAGGTTTCCTTCTAAGCATTTTAGTGAAGTATCTTCTCACTGTAGAGAGTTTAAAATATTTCTTATTTCAAGCTATTTAAAGGTTGTTTATAGCTTATTAATATTATATGTTGGTTTGGATATCCAGTTAGTTGATAAAAAACCCACAAGTTTCTGTTTTGACTATACATCTTGCATTTGATGTAATCTAGCAAAAGACGCCGAGTAGCGGAAGATGAGGAGCTTAGATCAAGGTTGGAGCCTGCGATCCTATCTGTTGAGGTATTTTCATGGGCATTACCGCTTCCTCTGCCCCTTTTCCAACATACGCATGCACAAAACTTTTCTTTTTGAAGGCAACTTGTTTGGTTTTCTGATGGAAGTAATTCTTTAAATGCTGCTTCTTTTTGCCCCATTCTATTTGGACTAACGAAATTAGGTTTTGTTTTGCAACTCAATTTACAGGGTAGAGGGTTTAATGTGCAAATTCATTATATGGAGGACCCTGTCCAAGACTATGTTCAGGCTGCCGTTTCAACAGTGCTATTGATTCATGACCAGGTATTTTGAAAATTGTAATATATTCAAATTTTGGGTTATATGCATCTAAATGGAGATGATTCCAATGATAAGCTTTTGATAGTTTCTTGAGTTGTTTCATTGATGCTAAATAATTGTATGTACTTGTTGATAAATGCTGAAAAACAAAAACATCTACGAATGATAAATATTCTTTTCACTTTTGCAATTTAGTGCCAGTTTTCTGAAAGACTTCTAACAGTCTAGCCTTTCAATCTTTTAGTGTTCTGCAATTGCTGGAAACAACACCAACATACTTTATCTTTCTAGAACTACAGATGTTTCAGCAACTATATGTGCTTCCTATGAAGGCTTTTTTTGACTTATTTATTACAATTTTTCCTCCTTGACACTAATATAAAATGGTATCGTTCGAGAATTTTGCTGAAAGGGTTAAATTCCACTAATTTTTCTTATCTATATTTTATCTGTTGTGTAGGAACCAGCAGGTGATATTTTAGTATTTCTTACTGGTCAAGATGATATTGATGTTGCTATTAAGTTGCTTACTGAAGAAGCTCGAAGCAATGGGAAAAATTCCTCAGGTTTGGTAGCGTGGCATATGTCTTTGGACTTGTCATCTTTAACTTACATTTATTGAAAATAATTTGCAATAATCTTGTATTACATGTATATATCTATTGGTGTTTTATGCCTATGCATACATAAGTATGACTAGACGTGTATGTGTGATGGGTATTCCATTGCAAGTTAGTGGATGTCTTTGTGCCTAGCTGTGCAGTGGATTTGTGACCTTTTATTAGTTAGTGTCACTCCTCTTGACATGTTTTCATGTTTAAAATATATTCTACTATCAAAATGGGTCAAACAAAACTCTACTAGAAAAGACCCAGCAATTCCACACCACTTATTTGCTCAGTGCCAACCTTGAGTGTACTGTAATCAATGGCAGGATGATATCTTTCTTACAGCAGAATTAACATTCTGTTAAATTTGACGGACATTATCCAATTATATCTTCATTTCAGGGATGATTATTCTGCCTCTATACTCAGGACTTTCACATGCAGAACAGGTTAGAGATATTTGTCTGTTTGTAATAATGTGACCTGTAGAATTTGCTTAATTTCCTTTCTGGTTTTACCAATTTCTCTTTAGTTCTTTTCAGGATTTGGTGTTTTCTCCAACTCCTAAAGGTAAGAGAAAAGTAGTGATATCAACAAATATAGCAGAGACATCATTGACTTTAGAGGTAAGACATGTGCATTATGGAGCTATTTGTTAAACTTTAGTTTGTTAGTTCAAAAGTAAACAGTTGTTTGATTCATGTCTACACTTGTTCTCATGGTTGGTGCAGGGTATTGTCTATGTTGTTGACAGTGGATTCTCAAAACAACGATTCTATAATCCGGTATCTTCATTTCCACATTGTTATGGTGAAACATGTGTAGATTTAGGATTTCTCTTTGTGATTTTGTTTGATAATGATGACATCTTGCCTAAAGTTATTCATTCCTAAAAAATATTACCACAAAATCTATTGAACTACAATCCAAACAATCCTTCTTGGCATTATTTTCAATGAATTGAATTAATACATAACATTACCATTTATGCATTTTTACTTGAAAAATGGCTAATTGTGATGTTAATTACTTTGTGGTGGACAGTCTCAGACCATCTTATGCTAAAAGAAGATTTTGAAAGTTTTAGCTTTTCTAGATTTTGGGTATATTGAAGCATACAAGTATTATTAATTTTTGCTTATGTTGTTTAGTTTATCACAATAGTCACCAGGTTTTGTTAGTTATTTTTGATTCTTAGACTATTTAGAGGTTTTAGTGGGAGCCTTATATCTCTAAATGGATTGACTTTTCCATGTCCTGGTTTAGTTGTTAATCATTTTATTTTCATTGCTCCAGATCTCAGATATAGAAAATCTTGTAGTGGCACCAATATCCAAGGCATCTGCTAGACAAAGGGCTGGCAGGGCTGGTAGAGTTAGACCTGGGAAGTGTTACAGGTGCCTAATTATTCAAGAAGTTAAAATCTTTCTGTAGATGAAATCATATCGACTATGACTGAATTCTTTTGATTGCTGCCACTAGACTGTATACAGAAGAATATTTTGTCAATGAAATGTCTGTTCAAGGAATTCCAGAGATCCAGAGGTCAAATCTTGTTTCCTGTGTGATTCAGGTATTTAGTTTTGTTGCATGATTTCTCTGGATGTCATTTGGTACTATATCATATTTTGACAAACTTAGTGCTGTGAGCTGCAGGGCTCCCTACTTTCCTTATTTACTGTCCTAAAGTGCTTGTGTAACTTTAACTTTGGTGCTTCCTTTATGTCATATATTGACCATTGACTCTGATTTAAATTTTTACAGTATTTAATAGTATCATAGAGTTATGCTGTGATTTAATCTTTTATAGTCTTTTAGGCGCTGATCTCTGTACTCTGATTTTGCAGTTAAAAGCCTTAGGCATTGATAATATTCTGGGCTTTGATTGGCCAGCATCCCCATCTCCTGAATCAATGATCCGAGCACTTGAAGTACTTTATTCGCTTGGAGTACTTGATGATGATGCCAAACTTACTTCACCGGTTGGGTTTCAAGTTGCAGAAATTCCACTGGTAAATAAGCTCTATTTCACCTAAGACTTTAGGTTCATATCTTTTTAATGGTTTATTTCCATGATATCTCCATATATGTCACTGAAATGAGAGATAAACAGTCGATGAAATGGGGGTTTATTTTTTATTCTCTTTATTCAGGTTTACCATTTTTAATGTTCACTGCCTTTCTCTTTACTCGGGTTGTATTTCTTAGGTGCATACCTCACTATTATATGTTTTATAGGAACCAATGATCTCAAAAATGATTTTAGCTTCAAATGAGCTTGGGTGTTCAGAGGAAATCATTACTATTGCTGCTGTTCTCTCCATCCAGGTAAGCCACTGTTCTCTGTTGTGTGTGTGTTACGCTTTATTCAAATGTTTATGTTTACTCAGATCCTATTGTTGTATAGACCAAGTTATCAATATTCCATAAAAAGCACATTCCTCCCTCCCCTCCTTCCCTTTTCCTTTCTGTTTGCAGTCTATCTGGTTTTCTGGTTGGGGAGCACAAAAGGAACTGGACGAAGCCAAATTGAGATTTGCTGCTGCTGAGGTATTGTGACTTGATCTTTAGTTTTACATGATTTTGTGTTTTCAAACCTGATTTACCATGTTCTCTATTAGTTGGAGTATTACTAACTCCTATAGCTGATTCCAAGTCGGCTTCAACCTCCTTTTTGATCTTTTCTCTTTGTTTTTGGCCGCATCTCAAGTCTCATGCTTTTCTAACTATTTAGTTTAAATACTATGAAATGGGTCCAAACTGTCAACTGTCTTTAACTAGTTTTGCTGGATTTTCTTTCTTGATTATGTTTCCAATTTGTTATGTTGTAATAACTCAGTAATTAATGTGCTTCACCTGTCTCATATCTTTGTCTTTTGCAGGGTGACCATGTTACTTTCCTGAATATTTACAAAGGATTTCTGCAGTCGGGCAAATCTTCAAAGTGGTGTCATAAGAACTTCATAAATTACCATGCCATGGTTTGTATTTTTGTTTGAGCATATTTGAGAATTTAAGATACAGTCTGATTTCACTCTGATAGATCCTGTCTTTAGTACAAAAATCCTGTATCTGTAGGTTTTACTTATTTAAGATAGTTTTTGCTGCATCTCTTACATGTATGTTAATATTGGCTTTAATTATTTTACAGAAAAAAGTAATGGAAACTAGGGAACAACTCAAAAGAATAGCACTGAGGTTGGGCATAGTCTTGAAATCTTGTGAAAGAGATATGCAGGTAAATAAAGTGATACTTTGATCTAATCTTAAAAATGAAATACGGTAAAAGACAGGTATGTTATTACTGCTATTGTTTCCATTGGGTTGATATTTCTGGTGTGAACACCAAAATATTATTCAAAGCTTTTAACTGTGCATGGTGTTTCTGCTGCACTAAATCTTGTTTTGTTTCTCTTTCATAGATAGGATTAATCATGCCATGTGGTTGTGTATAACTACAATTTACCATATGCAAACGTTCAAAAGGGAGATAATTGGACAGAGTAAAGGACTTATTTTGAATACATCAGTTTCATGAGCTTATATTTGGGAGGCCGTTTAGTGTATCTATCATAGAATTTTAATGAATCCAATATAATTATACAGATAGGCCTCTATTTTAGTCTCTTGCAGTAGCAAAATTTTGAGAACTTAAGACCAGAAGTTTTATGTGTAATAATGCCACTTTCTATTGCCATTGTTCTCATAATCTCAATTGGGGCTGGCAGTTTACTTTCATATAATGAACTTGTTATTTTGGTGAGTACATATCTAATCTTTAAATCAAGCCCATCTCATTCCTCTTGACATGTCATGGTTCCCTGGAGGCTGCCTTTTTTTCTTTCTTTTGTGTTTTAGTGGCTCAAATAATCTTTTAACACGTGTTTTTGTACAAGATGAATGATGCTTTGTAATCTACCTGTTGCAGTTAGTGAGAAAGGCAGTCACTGCTGGTTTTTTTGCTAATGCATGTCGTTTAGAGGTAATTTTAATCTCTGGGAGCTTATTTCTAATCAAATATATCATTTTTTATCTTTTGGAATCTGAAGATAATTCTACCTTGGAGAAATTTTATTAATCAGAATTATTGTCTTCTGAGGTAAACTGTTTATCTTAATCAAGTTTTGTTGCCTATCTTGTAAACAGGCCTTCAGTCATGGTGGGATGTACAAGACCATTAGAGGTTCCCAAGAAGTTTATATTCATCCATCATCTGTGTTGTTCAGGTTGGTACTGAGACTCGATTTAGTATATACAAGTACACATCTTTATATTTGATTATGCTAGAAACTCCTTGGTGCTGCACGAGATCAGAGACATGAAAATTCACTCTTGGTTAAAGATGATGAAAAAAAAAACTTGTGTCTGCATAAATCAATACCAGATCCTGCAATATCCCTTGCAACTAATTGAATTTGTGTTGTTTTACTTTTTTGTGAATTTGTTTGTTGTATAAAAATAAATAAAATTACATTCAGTAATTAACCCTAAAAGCTAGCAAAGCATTAGTCCTTGAGATACACGAACCTAAAATCTTTGAATAAGTAACCTGAACCTACATTATCTGAATACTTAAAATGTCAAGAAAAAACTGAACCTTCATAAATTCTTAGGGCATGCCTCTGATCTGGCAAGCAGAAAACATGAATAGCTGTTAATATCAACTTATTTAAACAGCTTTTGATTAGAAAACTGCATCTTGTGTCATTTAGATTTTGAAAAATCTGCAAACTTATATTAAATTATTGCTGTTGAGTCAGATGGCTAGAATATGAGCTTTTAAGGACTTTTATTTCTTTGAAGGATTGGATTTTATAAAGTATATATATATTTGCTGCAAATATTTATGTCACAACTTGTCTAATTCAATACCATGAATTTTGTTAACCTGCAGAGTCAATCCAAAGTGTGTAATATACCATTCTCTTGTCTCCACTGACCGGCAATACATGCGCAATGTCATCTCTATGGATCCTTCTTGGTTGACAGAAGTTGCACCGAATTTTTATCAGCAGCAGCAGCAGCAGCAGCAACTGCGCAATCCCATTATCCACTGACTGCCTTGAGAATTGCTGGGCAAAAGCAGGGAGTCAGTGTGATAGTAACCATTTTTTCCCTGGTAGACTGTCATAGAAAATGGATGATCTATACTTATTTTGCTTATTTATTTGTAGATTAATGCACTGATGCTTGTCTTAAAGTGATATCTTGATGTAATTTTTTTTTAATGGCAGTAGATCCATTTGATTGCACCGAGGTTTTGGCTATAAATTTTGAACGGAGTTTGCTCAGAAAAAAAAAATCTAAAAATATAAAAATATAAACGAAGTGAAGTGTCTATCTCAGAAAAAAACTATAAAAATATAAAAATATAAACGAAGTAAAGTGGCTATGGAAAAACCTAACATTCAAAGTCTCGAAAAGCGAAATTAACCACCTCAGTGGAAATGAATTTATATATAGTCCAATGAGGTCATCTTACTGAAATAATTGTAAGGCATTGGATGCCTTGTTTTTGAAAAACGTGTTCCTTGCCCCGTGTCAATGCTTCCATCCACTAGCTAGGCAGCCAGTTTTATAAGTAGACCGGTTGATTTTTTTATCCAGATTAACATTCAAAGCCAGCTTCAATAAAAGATTTTAAATATGCCAAGTTGCGGATGATCAAATTGTGTTCATTGTCTTCCTTTTCTCCTGCTGAAATTAATCCTTCATTTTCGTCTAAGTTACGATACATTTTGTATATTTATCAATGGATTAGATGGAGGGTTAGATAGCTGAGTGTTCAGGGCAGCTACCACCTTAATTTGACTTGATTTCCAAGAGCCTGGGGAGGAAAGCCCTTGATAAGGAAGGCAACCATCACAATAATTTTACCTGATTTTCAACAACCACGGGAGGAAGGCTTGCTTTATTTCCCAGTATCTAGTTGTCTTTGCTTCAGCATCAGGCTTCTTCATGACAAAGATGCAATTCACAGTTGCCATTCTTTTACTGATCTTAACCATCAATTATGGAAGTAGTCGTTCCATTAAAGAGAAATCCAGTCTAGTATCAGATGGCATGGGTCAAACAAGCAAATCTTCTGTTCTTGAACTTGATCTTTCAACGACAACGGTGACCTGCGAGCCTACTTATGGCTTCTTACCTTGCACAACAAAGGTGTGGGGGCAGCTGTTCCTGTTGGTGGTTTACGAGTATTTGCTATCCCTTTCAGAGCAGTTCATTACGAGCGGCTCTAATCTATTCTTTCAAATGTTTGGAACTGGTATTTTCGGTGCCAGTTTGTTCCATATTCTCGGCATATTCCCACAAATTATCTTGGTTCTAGGTAAGCTTTCTCAAGTTGAACAAATATTCAGTTTCCAGGGGTGCATATTTTTCCCTGTGACTTTGCAATGTATGTGATCATTGAACATGTGCAGAATAATATGCTGCATCTTTTAGCATAAAAGTCAACCTCTATAATGCCTCCTTCTTTCAAATCCCAGATATCATCTTTGGTCTGAAATGCGATCTTATGTCAGTATTTTATAATATTTGCAATATATTTCGTAGTAATATTTGATACACATAACACTAATAAAGTTGTATTGATGTTTTAATTTACTTATCAGGAATTTAAAAATATGTAGTTTTTACCATTTGACTAACCTAAATCAAAGCAACATGAATAGTGCTCAACTGAGAGATGACTCATTCCTGAAGCTAACAGGATTAGTTGTATTAAAGTATTCTCTCCCTCTTACTATCCAAAACCTAGGCTGCAATGGACAGACACTCAAGACACGTTTTGGAATAACTTTTTTTCTTTTCTCTCTTTTATTATAGACTAATTAGGAAACACTTTCCTATGAATAAATTAAATTAAATCAGAAAAATTTTCATGTTTCTTTTCCTTAACTAAAAACTTTATCAAACACATTTCCTAGAATGTAAAATGGATACTGAAAAATGTGATTGAATTTGGGTTTCAGTTAGTGGAATCTCAGCAAGTGAAGAAACTATCCAAACAATGGCAAAAATATCGATGGGCTTGCTGGCAGGATCAACAATTATGATGCTTACGCTAATTTGGGGTTCTGTCATCGCTTTTGGCAGATATGATCTTTCAGACACTTCTTCTTCATCAAATTCATCAAATCCTGACAATGCAGACACTTCAATTTCATCCAATGCCAAAAGCAACAAACCCTTTAGTTTAACCGGTTTGTCACCTTTTTTTTTTTCGTACATTTTCTAGTAGCACAGAAGAACATCTCTAGCTCAACAACATTGACGGGTTATTTTTCATTTCTGATCAGGGTATGGAGTGAGAACTGATACTGAAACCAAGAACAGTGCAATAATCATGCTTCTGTCTATGGTTCCATTTCTCATTCTTCAGCTTGCCAAAATTCTAAGAACACGAGTAGTTGTCCTAATTTCCCTTATTGCCATGCTTGCTTTGCTACTCAGTTACTGCATTTATCAGGTAACATAAGATTTTTTTTTTTTAAATCATATGGGAGTAAAGAAATAAAATAATGTGCAACTCCAAATCAGAGTCAATTCACCTATTTGGCATCCAAAGTGATTAAAAGTGATGGTGCAGGTATTTGAGCCATGGATTCAGGAAAGGAGATTTGAGTATTTGATGCGTAAACATATACCGAGGAACTTGTTATATAAACTTCTTTCCCCTAATGGAAGGGCAGATGAACTTGAAATAAAAAAGTAAGTCTTCTTCAATTATTTACATTTTCAGCTCCTATATATATATATATATATATATATATATATATATATATGCTGACTTGCTGACATAGTACTGTTTACTCAAAATGTCTGCAGGTTATTTCAGAGGATTGACAAGAATAACAATTCCCGTATATCATCAACTGAACTCAGAGCCTTCATGCTTGGAATACAAATAGAAGAGGTTGGCTTGGATGAAGAAGATTTTGAGACAAAGGTCATGGAACAGTTTGGTATCTCTGATGATTCTAATATAAATGAAACAGATTTTGTTAGAGGAGTCTCAAATTGGCTTAACAAGGAATATAATGATGCAAATGATCGAGCTGCAGGAGAGGGTAGAGTTTTTCACTTTCGTGCAAAGGTATAAATAAATCAATCTATATGGTAGGATTTTGTTTAAATGCTACAGAAATCATTCGGTTATGAACATTTAATTGCAAATGCAGAAAAACAATAAAGAGAAGCAAAGTTTGTTACCTGCAAAGAAAGGGAATGAAGTGAGAAAGGGTAGTGATAAGCCATGGTGGAATTACACCAAGGCTGCTTTTCTGATCACTCTGGGGACTGCAATTACAGTTCTGCTAGCAGATCCCCTCATGACATCAGTCGTAGAATTCTCTACTTCTGTAAACATTCCCTCATTCTTGGTCTCATATGTGGTGATACCCTTGGCTTTGAGCGTCAGACAAGCACTCGAGGCAATAACTTCAGCAGGCCAGAAAACAGAAAAGGCCGTCTCTCTAACATTTTCAGAGGTTTATTTCTCTCTCAAACTTATATATGTGCCTTTCCAGTTTCGCATTGGTAACTAGTACTAATTTAAAAGGGATTCTGCAGCTTTATGGTGCAGTGTTCATGAACAATGCGTCGGGATTGGTAATCTTCTTGGGGCTTGTATACATACGGGACATTTCATGGGATGTGTCGGCTGAAGTTCTGGTTGTTTTACTTATTTGCACAGCAATTGGACTGTTGGCCACTTTCAGCAACAAAATCCAGCTTTGGACATGTATTCTAGTATATCTTTTATATCCCATTTCCCTGCTGCTAGTTTATGTTCTCACCAATGTTTTGGGATGGTCTTAATTTATTGCAAAGCTTGGTCAAGGAATAAAGAGACAGGGTTAGGGCTCTAAGTCTGAGTATTTATCATCAGGGAAGAACTTAACAAGTATCATCTTCTACTTGTAATCCGGTAGGTTCTTAACTATATTTTCTATATGTCATGGACAAAATTTAGTTAATCTATATATTGTTTTCCCTTTTCTATGTCATGGACAAAATAATAATATGTTTGATTCTTAACTTACATAAAAGATTAAATAAAAAAAAAAAAACATAATGCCCTAGATAGCCCTATACTATTGGAAAATATCCAATGTGATGCTCCAGCTAAAAATATGTTTAATCAAATACTTAATTTTCATAGGTCTAAAGTATAGTTATTATCCAATTAAAATGTGACATGGGTTTAAAATGTCATGTCATATATTGTAGTGATTTTGGATATGTACACGGCACTTTAGTGGCTCCGACATGTCAGATAATTATTGATTACTAATTTTGAGATAAAATTAAAAATAAAAAAAAATCAAACTTAAAAGAAACAAACTTGAAATTCCTAATCTCCCCAAATCCCTATCCTCCCCGATCTCTGAAAGAAACTCATCAAGAAAGAGATCAAACCTGAAACTTTAATTTCAGTAATCATGAGCTTTCTATATTTTCTAACATGAATGATTTCAAATTTAAAAAATAAAGATAAAAATGTAAATATATATTTTCTAAATCATGAAAATGATGCATAGGAATATATCAGACTGGATCTTTCAATCATTAAAAGCCGATCTAATTAATATTCATAAAACAAAACCAGTCTTAGTAGATAGCATTCTCCTTAATCTAAATTTTTTTGGGACTAAATTTCCCTAATGAAAGAAGCCATGCACCAATTTAGAGCTTAAGGTTTAGATCAATAAAATCTCCTTTTATTTCAGTACAATATTTATCATTTTTTAAACCAAGTGTGGATTCGGCTGCACCCCTTTGCTCTTCTGGTTGTAATAAGAAGCTAAAGAAACTGATCTTCTTGTGAACTGGTACCTCAGATTCTGATGACGACCCTTGGAGTTGTAACCCCTCAGTGTTTTCCTTCATTTCCTGAAAGAGAAAAAAGACAAAAAAGTAAACCACAACGAAAATTATGCAAGTAAAACACACTTTTCAAACCTGGGACAGAAAAAATAGATCCAAAAAGAAAATCAAAATAAAACATATTCCTTTTAAAGTTTAACATCTTACTTGGAAAGGGAATTGCTTGATGAATTTGGAGAAGTCTGGTTGACAATTTTGAGTTGTTGGCAAAGGAGTTGTTGGAGAGCCTAATGTGAGGGGCAGGGCACTGTCATTGCCACTAGGGTTCCGGCCATGATCATTAACACATGTTTTCACTTTCAGCTCCAAAGGGCTAGTTGGCATTGGGTGATCTCTGAAAATGGCAAAAGTCCAAATATATATATATATATATATATAAGCCAAAATTACTTAAATTTACAGGCTAGTGAGGATGAGGAACCATGTATATATATATATTAATGAAAATATCAGGTCAGGTGGCTAACCTGGTCGCTGTTCCAAGATTGAACACACCATTGTTGCAAGACGATGGTGAAGGATCAAGCCTGGAAATCCGAGGGTGGAAAGAGGGAGGTTGACAGGGCATGTGAGGAGCTGCTGGCGGCCAGTTGTCGACAGGGAAATTAGGCCTTGGCGGCTTGAAGCCGATAATCTAATTAAAATAAGTAAATTTGACATAAGGAAGGACTCCAATATATTCGCAGTTGCTCTAACCTTCTCAATCAGTAAAACAAAAATCAGATCCATTGCCTTCCTATAGAACTTTTAGAAAAGAATCGAATTCCCATGCAGTTACACTCGACCAAGTTCTCGTTTCATCAACTGGTCTAATAGTATTATACTATAATAGTTTTGTTGAGAACAAATGATAATATATAACTAGAATATTAAAGCATCCTTAAAGAAAAACAAAAGAACAGAATCCACATCGAAATGGGTGAAGAAAAAAACAGCAGAAAAAACGTGAGCATTTCAATTAAAAGAAATATATTTATATGTATTTAACAAAAGAGAAAAGAAACCCATAGCAAGTTTTCTGATTTATTAAAAAAAATCAACTAAATTATGAAGAAGTATGTATTATATTATTATTAAGGAAAACATAAATAAAATAAAGGGCAATTAAATTTGCACATGCCTTGTCTTCCTCAGGCAATATTGTGTCTGTGTAGTTATGACAAGATTTTTGGTTTGAAGGGGGCTCTACATGATGATACACCCCTGCAGCTGCAGATGATGGTGATGATGGGGTGGATGAAGGCGATATTGCTGACCGTGGAAAAAGATTCATCTGTTTGAATTCATGTAGGCCAATCTTCAAAAAGATTAGAAATAATTAAAGAGAAAAAAAAATCATAAACTTGACATTAATTTATTGATTTTTACCAATGAAGGATGGCAAGGGCCATGGTTCTTTTGCAACATGGGAGGAGGAAACATTTTGTTATGATCAGATCCGTTTGAAGCAAATGCAGGAAATGAAAAATCAATAGCCATTTTAGGAGCTTCCTCGCCTTTCCTTGTCTCAGATGAGCCCCACGTTATTGGCAATAAGGTTTGTTCAGGCAAAAATACACCTGATCCGCCAATATAGACTCCTTTACTACGACCATTACCACCCTCATTTCCACATCCTAACAGTGAACTGCCCTTAAGATCACCATTGCCATTTACATGGAGGGTCGTCACTGGAGGAAGAGGTGGAGTACTTTGAGTATTACCAAGAAAAGAAACATTTCTTGGTAAAGAAATTGAGGAAGAGGCAAAAGGAGAATAAGGACGAGGATAAGTATTGGGAAGTGATGGAACTAAGGATGATGAGATCGGTCCAATTATCTTTCCATTCTCTACACCAGCATTTTCCTCTTGTTCTCGCAATATCTTTTCTAGTTCAGCCACTCCAGGTCCTCTTTTGGGGATTCTTTGTTTCTTTGCCTTCCTTAAACTTGAACTTCCATAGTCATCCCGATCACCCACGATGCCATTGGCATGGGCAACCCCACGAACTCTAACGTTGTTGCTTGTATTGTTGCTGCACATTGCTCTTGCTTTTTTTTTTCGGCTCCCTGTGTAAGAAGGCATTAAAAAGGTCATCAATCTAAGCATTTAAATAACAACGAAGAAGCAAATGAAAGTGGGAAAGAAATCCCTATTTTCAAGATCACAAATCTAAAAGAAGAAACAAAAATCATTCAAAAAATTATATCTCAAAAAGAGGCTACCTATGCGTAATGAAGAAGTGGCATTAAGGAAAATCCGCCCATGTTTTAAGCAGATAATAGATCTTAGAAAGAGAAAAAAAAAACACGCAATGTTGTAAGAGAAAAAAAAGAGAAGAAAGTATTATCTTAATTTATATGAGTTTCCGAGAAAAGTGTTTTGTTTGTCGGATCGAGAAAGAAAAGAAAAGAAAAATTAAAACCTAGCAATAATCGAAATATTTTTCTTTTTTTTTTTCCCTCAATTTAAAGTTTTTCTTTCCCTTTGTCACTTGTCAGTATATATGAAGAACATGAAACTGTCCAATAGAGTTGCTGCTTTGCTGGTGTTTTTGTTGATGAAGGTCCATGTATTATGTGTCTCAAAATCTCTGAAAATCTTTGCCATTTTTATAAGCAGTTGTTGGGAGTTTTTAAATGCCACCGCCCAGCCAGAGTAATATTTTTGCATGGAATTTATGGAATTTGTTATGGGCCCCACTGAATAATATCAAGACATTAATTGGCACTTTTGGACCCCACTTTTGCCAAGTATTAAGCCTTACATGCATTACAATTTACATCCAAGTTTAAGGCAGCGTTTGCCTGCATGGAAAACCATATTTGATTCAGACATCAACAAATCATCTCATAAAGACAAATCGTAACTGGGATTTAGGTTTTATATAGCACTTGAATTTTTTCTTAAATTTTCCTATATTCATTTCTCTACATTCAATTTCTCAATCCTGAAAAATTAATTAGATAACTATATTTGCAAATTTAACAAAATATTTTTATTTGTTTTGATATTTGAAACTTTGAAAGAACAAATCATGATTATTAAAATTAAGAATCTAAAATTCTATTAATAGATCACGCATTCATGTAGTTGTTGATTAAACAAAATATGTTACCATGCTATAACATAGTATAAGAAATTAAATATTAAAGAAATATAACATAAGAAACTTTTTTAAAATAAATTCATTACCATGAAGATCATAATTAACCATACACAAACAACCAATGAAGGAAAGCCTCACTAATCATGGGAAAGCCATTGGTAAATTGTGGTAATAAAGAGGAAAAAAAATCCCCAGGCTGGAAAACTTAATGAAAAATGTATCTTTGATGTTAAAAACCTAATTAATGTGAGGTAAGAGTGAAAAGAAAAAAAAAGATTTCACAACTAGATTCAAATCTCACTGCCTTTTAAAGAAAATCTTTCTTTGGGAATCAATGTAAATTTAGTATGTTTGCCCTAAAATCTTTTTTGCCCTTTGTTCCTGTTTTTATCAATAATTTAAATGTGCAATTATAGGGTGGCTGGTTGAAAATTTTGGCAAGCAACAAAATTGTTGGTCACATGGGTTAGGAGAGAGCATTATCTTAAGTCATTATGGAGAGGATCTTCATGCCATCATGAAGTCTTTTAATTGAATATAAGTGAGGAGCAGACAAGGGCACAATTTTGGGTTTTGAGATTAACCAAATATAAGTTTCATTAATAAACATTCTTATTTTAAATTGGACTATTGATGCCCTCTATCAGCAAATTTCTTTACATGGTTAATTTGAAGCTAATCACATCCTAGAAAATGAGTGTATGACAACTGCCTATAACTAGTTGAAAACATTCAAATTCCAATCCAATCCAAAACTCAAATTGAATCATAGAGATTTAAGCCTTAATTTTTAATTTTGTCAGATTTCTTTATCTAAAAGAAGAATGATTCCAACAAGATCTCCTATTAATCGATAATTACTTCACCCTAGTACATATCAAAAGATTTATACCAAATGTACCAAAAAGAAAAAGACTTATACCAAAGATTTGCAATTACTTGTGGAAAGTAATTAATTTGAGAAAAAAAAAAACAAAAATGATTATACAGTTGTTACTTTATTTTATCTTGTTTAAGTTGATTGTTGGTTAATATTTTGAGATAAGTGAAAACTTATTTCTTCTTATGATAAAATAAAGTTTAATTGACGATCGATCATCGGTTGCATATAGTCTCAACGGCCTTTGTGTATTTTTGTGCACGGACTTTATTTTTTTTTGGCGTTGGAAGAAATCAATTGGTGCACAATTTTTCAAATTGGCCTAATTATAATGCTACGGACTTGACTGCCCGAGTTGCCCGTGAGTACATATGAAACATGTTTAATCATGTAAAAGGGTCCTGGTAAATGAGTTTGGCGTAGAAATTGATAATTGGGTGGTCAGGGTCTGCTCCAGGTTCAGGGTTGGAGTCAGCCCTGGACACTAGGCTGCCCTAGGCCACGTGTCTACTTTGAGAGATACAAATGGTAATTCATGTAATTTGTCGCCTGAGAAAGAAATTAGTTTTGGGTAGTTTTCAAAATTTTAGATGGGGCTTTAAGGCAGAGCATCGCAACGGCTCGTCACTTTCGTCTGTCTCGGTTGGATTCTTGTGATCGGAGAAGACAGATTTGATTTTCTAGAAAAAAAAAAAATTTCAACGTGATGAGCTTTGAATCTCTCTCTAAAAGAATTATAATATTAAAATGGGTTGTTGAATTATTGACTTTGTCGCTCCACATTGAACGTGTAGTGTGTAAAATTAAAATCAAAAGAAAAAGAAACAGTTAATTAAAGTATAAATCCTTGTCCACATTTACGATAAAAGTGTCTAACAAATTTTAATGTGTCATTGCATCCATTAAATATATATATATATATATCAACATAAATTTTGGATAACTTCTGATTTAATTTATGAAATTAAAAAAAAAATACACTATCAATGTATAAAAATGAATTATAAATAAATATATTTGTTCTTTCTTATATAACTAATAATGAACAATTGGGAATTCAAACAAATTATTCCTATTGCCCTGGATTTGTAAGTACATATTTTAGTAATTATTTCAGATGAATTAAGAGGCAAAGTACTTGCTAGTTTAATCATTCCATGCATTGGATTCACAACAAGTGTTTGTAAAACTAATGCCTAGAATTTCATATATCTTATTGCTGCATATATTCTGAACTCTAATTTACAAAAAATAGTGCTAAATAACAAATTAATCCACCGTAGAACTAATATGAATATGCAAACTATATACTAAATGGAGTTGATAAGTAAGTACCCCTAAGAAAAAAGACAATATTTTCAAAAAAAATTATAAAATAATTTTACCCATCACTGCCTCTCTAAATCTTGTGTGCCAATTACTTCATTTCCACAACTTTGAATCCTTCTTAATGATCTCTCCCTACCAAGCATCCTTCTAAATGAACCAAATCGTGAGTCTGATCCTGATGATCCACCTTCCTTTTCCAATTGGGCAGTAATATGGGACGCGTTTTCCTCTACAGGAGGAGCCGTGGGCTGAACCCTGTCACTCAACCCCTTGTCCTCTAGCTGGACCGTTGGCTCAGCCACGGTACGACATATGGGGCAAGTTGTGTGTGATCCAAGCCACGTATCTATACACTCTACATGAAACATGTGCTTACAATTTGGTAAAAGCCTGAGCGTGGACTTCTCCGTGATGGTTCCCAAACAAACTGAGCATTCTATGGGCTCCTCATGACCATCAACCTGACCGGTAGTTAGCTTGTATGTGAACATCGGCAATGAGGCTATGACCAAAGGGTCGAGTCCTGCCTTGGGTGGCTCGTTGAAGGAACTTTCATCAGTCGGTGCAATTTGAGTTCTCTGGGAATAAAGGGCGGCACGCCGTCTCCTTTCTTGACGTCTCAGAAGATACCTTCCATAGAGATGGAGAAAGACTACGAGCATCACAACTCCAAGCAACGAAGCGATTGCCACAAGCATGATCTTGCGGCTGACACCAAATCTTCTATCATCTTCATCCCTCAAACCCATAGTTGGCTTAATTTCCCTTCAATGGAGGAGGCCAATGGAGAGGTGTGTAGTTTAACTTAATATATATCTCTCAATTTCTATGGGAAGAACCCTCTTTTTGCTAATGTGGATTGGAAGAAATGTCGCTCGTGGGGTAATGAATAATAAACCTTTAGAGCAGGAAAATTTAAAAACTAGCTAGCCACGGTTTCCATGATCATGTCATGAGTTTGACTATACAATACTCCTTGCATTGTTTACCAAACCCGTGTTTGTTATTTGTCAATATAATAATATGATGAAAGCTTATAATAGTGTGTTAGCGGATCAATCGAGAAAAATGGATGAATGAATGAAAGAGATATTTATGCTTTTAAATGGTATGATAAGAGAAATTATAGTTTCAACGTCCACGGCATGTATCAATATTTTCCAAAGATTTGGTGTAAAATCTTCAACCCTAGGTAACGCCGCTTGTTTTACGTAACCCACCTGTACCGATTACTTTTCCATGTGTAGACTAAAATATTAATACTATTAGATGATTAACTAAAAATTAAGGGGGTCAACAACCACTTTCCATGACCAAATCCTAATTTGAGTTAAAATTTTTCTTTTTCCAAAATGACTTCACTTTCTTATAATTTCTATACGTTTTAATGCATCATACATTAAATTTTCTATGCAGCAATGTTATATTTTTTAATTCGTTAATCTTATTCTGATAGAAATATTAAGAAGATTTCATTTTTTGTCTTATGAAAATTGAATTTGACGTAAACAAGAATAATAGGATAAAAACCGACCAAATATTCAAATGGTCCCGTAGCTCAGTTGGTTAGAGCGTTGGTCTTATGAGCCGAAGGTCGCGGGTTCGAGCCCCGCCGGGACCACTTTTAGTTTTTTTTTTAATGTACGCCACGCAAATCAATCAACCCATAGGTGTACCATGTTTACCAGTTCAAAATATGATAATTAATTATCCAATAAACAGAGGGTCAAGATTCACAAAAGAACTCCTACCTCACGAAGTTCCCAACTCCCATCACTATCCAAAACTGATACAGTAACAATCACATGAAAAGCATACATTTTGCTTCCATCCTCGTCCGATATAATGACCGCTTGATTTCATCGCAGAATCCTAAAATTCACATTGCCAAATGATAAATTACAGAAACAAGTGCCGTAGGGAGGAATTATTTTATCATAGATGGGCATCCAATCTCCAGCAAAAACATGTCATTCTCTGTTGTGCTGTCTTTGTTGTTAGCCCATCTCCCTGGATTGAATTTTCTCAAAAAAGAATAAGCTACAAGAACAAAATAAAAAACCCAACTAACAGCCACTCAAAAGACAAAATTCTCTCAGCTCTTCATATCAGCTGTTGAGCACTTAATTGATGAGAGAGAGAGATATCAAAAACATATTTTTAATATGGTTTCTTTCTCCTTTTCTTTTCTGTTAGACCTGCTTTTTATTCTTTTTGAGACCAAAACAAAAAAAAATAAACTGAAGAAAAAAATATAACAAGAGAGGAAAAAGCTGCTAATGGGCCATGGCAATCCACTTTTCACACCCACCCTTCTATTATTCTTTTCTTTGATTTGAGGCTTTCCTTCTTCTTCTCTGCAACTGGTACTATTGTTGTCACCACCACCTTTTCCTTTTTTTGCTCTCTCAAAATCGTTGCTTTGAGTGTCTTCCTTTGATAGAACCCTCTTTTTGGTTTTTTGACAGCTTTGTTGGTATGTCATTGGTAACCTATATTTATGGTTTGGTTTCTTATTGCTTCTGGTTTTGTTTGTTTTCGTAAGGGAAAAAAAATTCTCATTTTGGTAATACAAATGATTGGGAGGGATGCCTGGGATCTGGGTTCTGGATGTTATTAGTACTAGTAAATAAATTTACATGGAGTCAAAGTTATATACTAATTTTTCCTCTAAAAATCAAATCTTGGTTTCTGGTATGATGGGGTTTACGTTGCTGCTCCAATTTTCGGCTTCTTCTGTTAGTGGATAGGTGGGTTGACTCTGTTAATTGTCAATTTGTTCATTTGGTGAAAGGCTTGCTCACTGAGTTTAGGTACTGGTAGTTACTTTCCATGAATAAATGTTCCAACTTTAAATCAAATAATGTTTATAGCATGAAAAGATCACGACTTCAAAAATTTCTGGCGTGTTCTTCTAGGAAACTGAATTAGTTCTGTTCCAATTTCTGACTGCTGTTGTTTCTGATTATATTTCCATAGAAAAATATTGTCAGGTTGATGCTAAGTTGGATACAGATCAGCAATGGGTTCTGGAAATTTGTTGAAGACAATAATAAAGAAAGTGAAAGATGACAGCTCAAAGCAAGTGAAGGTATATACCAGCTTCCAAAAGCTTTTATTTTACAATCATAAGTTAAACTTTGCAACTCCTTCTGTTTTCTAGTTATAAATAAATTGAGTTTGCTTCTCAAATAATTTATTTGCAATTTGAATATTTTGAGTTGGTGTTACCTTCGTCCAAACCTTTTGGAAGGTTAATCTTATTTACCATTGAAATGGTATTTTTGAAGCTTTTAATTACTTCTATCTCTCATGAACAAAAAGCTCAGAATCAACCATAAGTGTTACTACCACCTTCCTTGATGCCATTTCCTATATTTACTTTATCATTTATTTAATCTTTCTGTTGAGGTAACTTTGACCTTGTACTTGGTCTCATCTGTATGGCACAGGGATCTTCAGCTTCTAAAAAATCCAATGGCTTAAAATGGAAGAAACACCAGAGAAAGGCATCCATTAAAACAAGTTTTACTAGTGGAAATTCCAACACTCTTGGCATGCCAATTGAGGATTTAGCAGCAACTCAGATTCAAACTGCATTCCGGGCCTATAGAGTATGTTGATTTCCAAGTTCAATAAATCAACATCATAATTTGGGAGCACATGTACTCATGTGTATGCATTTACTCATCTTTATGCATGTATCCCTGTGCTTGTATTGGTGGTTCTGTCTCACTGATGTTCTTCACACAGCAATAAGAAAATTCTTCTAATTGTAATTTTTATCTGTTATTGTTAGAGAAGAGCAAGTTGGTGTATCTTGGATATTTAAGGTATTGCTGAAAAGAATTCCTGCCCTTTAGGCAATTTTAACCCATGTCATTGTTGTCTTTGGTTTGTTTATGAGGTGAATGGTAGGCACCCTTCTCTAGATGAATATATTATACCATTAAAAATGCATGTTCTACCTCTTTTAAGATCATACTGGAGTTCATGAACCTGACAAAAGATGGTTCGAACACTGGAATTATTTGTTCATACCATCATGCCGATAAGAATCTTCTTCCTCTCTGTTTTCGCTTCCCCATAAAGTCTAGTTGTCAGATTCAACCTGATTTTCCTATATACTTTTGGTGATAGAACTTTCTAGTATTTCAATCCTGTAGCTCCAAGGCTTTTAACTGGATTTTGCATGTAAATGCATTATTCTTAGCAAGTGGTGAAGTGATATTTTCTAGTCTTTCCAAAAAGAAGCAGTGGCAATCATTACGTGCATTTGTGCAAATCTTTCTTATAGAGGAGCAATATAGGCACATGGTATTTGATAATTAATTGATGTCATGAACATGCGTCTAGGTATCTCCCTTGTTTCTGAATTCTGTTATATGTTGATAGTGCAAGTGTGGCTTCGGTTCTTCTCTTTGCTCTTTAATCCACTTGCAGTTGTCTTATAAATATAAGGTATATGTTCACCATTGCGATGGTAGAATGGTTTAGTAATTTCTTTTCTCATGATGCAGGCTAGAAAACATTTACGCCGATTGAAAGGTATGGTAAGATTACAGGCTCAAACCCAAACTCATTCCATCAAAAAGCAAGCTACAACAACATTAAATTATCTTTATTCATGGAGCAACATACAGGCTCAGATAAGAGCTCGTCGACTGTGTATGGTAACAGAAGGCCGTCTTAGAGAGAAGAAAATAGCAAATCAGCTAAAGCTTGAGGCAAAACTGCATGACATAGAGGTTAGATCAACAGCCCTGGCTCATGAGAACTTGCATGAACTAAGATCTTGACAGCATGCTTTGTTAAGTTTATTTGTCTTAAGCAAGTGAATTCATCTATGATTGCAATTTTAAGCATCTTACTACTGTGGAAAATTAGCATCACCTTATTTTCCACGGGATCATGTTTTTCATCTTATCATCAGTACAAATTAAGAGCTTGCCGCAATTTGAGTGAAAGAAGGTTTGATGTCTTGACATCAGTTGGAATGGTCATTTGGCGAGTAAGTTCTAGTGTATCATCTATGAAAGTTTCTGTTCAGCCCAAGTAACATGTCCATTTTCTGAATGAATCTTTTGTTATAATCTGTTGCTCTAAATCACAACAAATCACCATAAACATAGATCAGAAGACAAACTATTCAAGTTTAAATCTATGATGACTTAGAATCTTGACTGCAGTGATCAAGCAATCTATTTTCTCGAATTCTCTTCAGTTGTTGCTTAAATAAGTTCTGATTTTTTTCCTTCATATCTCTTGTTTGCCAACTGCCATCTTTACATATCTGTATCTTAGGGGCATTTTGTCTTTTATCAGCTTTACTGATATGAATTTTACCAATTGCCATCTTTACATATCTGTATCTTATGGGCATTTTGTCTTTTATCAGCATTCCTGATATGAATTTTGCTTTAAATGTAACTCATCATATAGACTCCAACTTCTGTATATTGCAAAACTCATTTAATCCTTTTATGTTCTGTTTTTGCAAGCTGCTTGTGAAATTATTGGATGAAGATACATTCCGGGCCAGAGTCCTCTTGGTCCTTCTGGACTTGTCTTAGAATAGCATTCTTAATGTCCTTCAGATCTATAACGTCATTAGCATTTTATAGTTTAAGATGTTTGATGTTTTATTCATTGGCAAAATGTCTAAAATTTTGGCTTGATTTGTCAAGTCAAATAATCCATGGTGTTCCTACCTCCTGTTAAAAGACTCCAGATATCTTTGCTTTGCTACTTCCTCTTAATCTCTCTCTTTCTCTCTCTCTCTCAATAATAGTTTAAATGGATTACAGGTGGAATGGTCTGGTGGCCCTGAAACATTGGAGGAAGTTCTCACAAAAATACAGCAGAGAGAAGAAGCTGCTGTTAAGCGGGAGCGAACTATGGCATATGCCTTTTCCCATCAGGTATTCCATTCCCAGAAGCTGTCATTTTTGTTACTTAGGTAAAAGTTGAATAATTAATCACCATGGGATATTCATGATTTGCAGTGGAGGGCCCCCAACTCTAACAATAATGGGCTTGGTAATTATGAACTTGCTAAAGCTAATTGGGGTTGGAGCTGGGTGGAACGCTGGATTGCTGTTCGACCTTGGGAAAGCCGCCTCCCTACTCAGTCCATTACCCCTAAGAAGGCAAAGAATAGACAGATAAGCAAGGCTGGTAAAAACTCAAATTCCCCAAAACCAAAAGCATCAGTTTCAGTTAAACCCCCTCTGTCCAATGGGAAGGGAACCATGAAGCCTAGGAGGTTGTCTTACCCTGGTGCTGAGAAGCCAGCTGTACGTAAAGAAAGCACTAAAACTGAAGAAGTAAACATTCAAAAAGAGGAGATAGCGACTTAGCAGCAAGCCAAAGATATAGTTAGATTCTTGATTTGGTTCACAAAAATTGGTGTTGCCGATGACTTATCGGCCGTAAGTGAGCACATCCTATTTTTTTTCATTTAGGAGTTGAATAATATATATATTTGTTCACTGGTTTTCTTTCTAGATTTTTTGTATATGAAGCGGTGAAAGTATGCCTTGCATGAGAACAGAAATTATAGAAGGGCTTGGTTTTGGGGCAGAAACGGTGATTCTATTTTTTGTTTTTGTTTTCTTTTCGTCTTTCTGTTTCATATTTCATGAAATTTGTAATGTAAATTTCCCGATTCAAATTTCGTTGAGTGATTCTGACAGCTTAGAATTTCAAGTCGCCTTTGCCCTCTAATCGGAATCAAGATTGAAGATTCAATGCAGGCAACATCAATTCCAGGAACATGTTTCTCTGACGCCACTGCTCCTGTCTCCCACAAGAATTCTTGTAAAACTAGATCCTAACGGGGGTGAAGTTTTATGGTTGAAGGCTTGGAGCAGGGGTTGGCTAAAGTTGTTCAGCTTTTTTTGAAGGTTGTTTCTATTTGTAATGGCCAACCTTTTTCTTCTATAATTGACAGCTTAGGACCAAGTAATTAATTGAATCTTGATAGACAACAGCCAGCTTCTTTGAGGCCCCTTGGTGTTGGCCCTTTGTTTTAATGACCCCTCCAACAACATTAAAAATTTTGTAGCTTTGACTACCGAGTAATCACCAAAGAAGAAGGACAGGTCCTCTGTCTCTCGATTATTGGGGCAGTTATGTTTTTATATGGTTGGTCCAATAGATAATTATTGTCATTTATGGAGTATGGTTATCTTTCATTTTAAAAGCTACATATGGAACTAATCAGGTTGTAATAGACATGGGTTAGGATTGGGTATATTGAAGATTGAGCCGCATTGTTCTTGTCTTGTTACCTGTACAAGTTCATGCATTTACGTTTTGTGTCTGTTGACTTTCGAACAAAGATTTTTCATCTCTTCTAATGGTAACATGTTACGAGGTTTTTATTCTATTCTTCCCCCGCTTATGGCTTGCTTATTTACAAGCTTAAACAGAAAATTACGGAATATTTTATAAACAATAAAAATGCTAAGATCAATAGATTGCATAATTGAAGAAGTGGGAAATCATAAGAAATCGCTCATCAACAATGTAAACACCGAAACCTAAATCTGATTTTTTTTTTCCACAAGTCATTGATATATTCTCTTTTTTTGGGCCATGAGAAATTTTTTTTAAATAGTAGTATTAAAGAAAAAAGAATTGAAATTAAAATTTTACATCTTCTGCCTAATGTGCAATAATCTATTTTCTTCTTTAAAAAAAAGGAAAAGAAAAAAGAAAAATCATCAAATCCTTTACCTCGTTATAAAAATTTGTACCATGCAAAACCTGGCTTCATGATCTTCTCAATTCTAAAGAGATTACCTTTTTTTTCTCCGCCATTTGTCAACGTTATGGCTTCACCAATATCTTTGAATGGTGGATCGCTTTCATTTTCATCACAGAGACTGTTAGCGTTAGCCCAGCAGCTGCGTCACTACAAGCCTCCACCTTGTTCCTTGGACGACAACGAGGAACAAATCATCGAGGAAGCCGCGGGGAAAGTTGTTTCCCAAGTGGGTTTTCAAGAATCGGTTACCCCAGTTGTCCAAAACCCGGAAAAATGTAGACCCAAAAGAGCTGCTGTTTTGATCTGTCTCTTTGAAGGTGATGCTGGGGATTTGCGTGTCATATTGACCAAAAGGTCTTCAAGATTGTCTACTCATTCGGGTCAGTTTGATTCTCTTTTGTTTTGTTAAAGATTGGAAATTGAATTGTTAATGAAATGTTTTTTTTTTTTTTTTGTTTGCTTGAATTGTCTGCTCACCAGTATAGAGGATTTGAAATGAGCCTTTGATTGGTTGAATGGGAAATTTGAGGAAATAGAACGAAAAGAATGAAACTTTTTTATTTTCTTGGGAAGGGAAGGATGGATTTTTCTCAAATTTATTTAAATGCTCACTTTCAGATTGAATTGAAGTGATGTTATTCTTTGTTAGGATCCAAATGTTTTGACTACTGCATGGTCTACTCACTCGGGTGGGTTGATTTTTTTGGTACCCCTTGTTTGTTTAGCAAGAAAATTCAAGCCAAAGAGCTGAAAATATTATCCTCTTAATGATATCTGATCCCAATCATTTGAGTTTTTAGTTTTTTGCATATGTGAGGCTCATTGCTGTGCATTTTCCTTTTTTAGTGTTAGGAACCAGCTAATGTTATTAAGGGATGAAATCCAGATGAAGTTGTGCCCTTGATTGAGTATAATCAAATGGTTTTAGGAAATAGAAAGAAAAAGGAATACAATGTTGGGTATTATATTTTGGTTTCCTAAGAAAATTTTGGTGTTTCACTTCACTTGAACTAGTTGCTTTAGGTTCGGTTATGTTAAGGAGTTAAGTTTGCTTTATTGATATTTGAGTTGACATTATAGATTGGGATTTTGATTTCTCTTATTTTTCCTTTATGTGACTACCAGATGTTGACTTAATGGTGATTGACGATTGTGTTGTGGGACTTAATTGTTTGACTTAATGTGTCTTTGGTACATTGTTGCAGGGGAAGTTTCATTGCCAGGTGGGAAAGCAGAAGAGGGGGACAAAGATGATGGTGATACAGCTACAAGAGAGTCTAATGAAGAGATTGGATTGGACCCTTCACTTGTGAATGTTGTAACTGTTCTTGAACCTTTTTTGTCTAAGGTATTGAAATATTTCTTCTAAGCTCTTTTAGTATCTTCATCAACTATTCATCTACTTGGTAAATGGCATTAATTTAACTTGAATCAGTTCTCAATTGGGTGATTGTGACATTTTTCTGCTCTATATACCAATGGTAATATTTGTTGGAAGTTCGGAATTAATTTCTTGTTGGAGGGTGTTGTGGGTGTCTATGACTTAAACTCAATGTCCAAAACTTAATAGAAAGAAGAGTCTCTATAATGCAAGATAGACTGTTAGGTGTGCAGCAAATTTATCGACCTACATGAGTTTAGAAATGAGAAATCTTCAGAAACCTATTATCTCTAAGCGCTTGACATTATAGATTCATATCTGTATGTCTCCGTCACGTACTCTAAAATTTCAGGAGTTGCCCTTCTGACACTTTCTCTATGTGTAAAAATGTGAAACTCTTGGCTGTATTTGGCAAGAGGTGACATGGGGATAATTGGTACTAATGCAATAAATTTCCAGCAAAACTAGAAAGAGTGAAAGCTGCCACACTGGAAAAAAGAAAGGTTTCATTTAGTTTATATGAGCTACCTACCTGATCCAAGCGTAATTTCTCTCATGGGTAATTTAATAGCTCTTCTCATTATCAAGTAATTGTAATAGCTCTTCCAACCTAAGTTATACAAGGTACTATCAAAATGTGAGCTTGACTGTTAGTTCTTTCTGTGAATGATATCTATCTTGAAATAATCTGAATTTTTCTACATGAATCTATTGACAAAGAAATGACTTTAGTGGTCTTTAGATCAGAATAGTAATCTTTAAGCATAGATACTTCTTTTTTACTTCAAAATGGAAATTGTACTTGTGTGTTTCTTAATGTGGATTATTGCCTTTGTGTATCATGGTAGTTACTTGCTGTGTAGATGGATGACACGATGAGTACTGTGTGCCATTCATCCGAAAGAACCTTTTACATGGGACTTTGTTTCAATGTAAAATGTTACATACGTTTCAGCTTGTTTAATTAATTAATTGTCCTTGTTGCATAGAGTACTCCAACTAATAATGTCATTAAAATAGTTTGAAAAGTTTTTTTTTTTTTTTATACTAAGATGGATGGATGGACAAGTTATTGGTTTTCCTTGCAGCATCTCCTTAGAGTATTTCCTGTTATTGGGATACTTAACGACAGAAAGGCATTCAAGCCTACCCCAAATCCTGCTGAAGTGGATGCAGTATTCGATGCTCCACTGGAAATGTTCATTAAGGTTTTTCTCTTCAACTCCTACTCTTGTACTTGTTTTACCCTTTTTAAAACAAGTGTATGAATTGCTTGGTTCAGGATGAAAACCGAAGCGTGGAAGAGAGAGAATGGATGGGAGAGAAGTATCTTGTTCACTTCTTTGACTATGAAATTGGGAATAAGAAGTATTTAATATGGGGTTTAACTGCCGGTATTTTGATAAGAGCTGCTTCAGTGGTCTACCAGCGACCACCAGCTTTCCTGGAACAGAGTCCCAAGTTCAAGTTTCCTGGAGTTGCGGACAAAAGTACTGTTATGCCTTAAATAAAGTTAAAGGAATTTTAAGGTTGGCTTGTATTTCAAATCTTCATTATAATTCTTTATATGGAAGATGAGTCGAAGGGGGATTTTAAGTAAAATTTTTTATGACAGTTTAACCTTTTTTATGTTCTTTTTGTGTTTTTTTTTAAACATCTGAAGCTTTTTCTTATAAATAGAATGGGGGAGAAAGCAACGAGGGAGGAAAAGAAAAGGAAAGAGAAAGAAGGCTAACAGAGGGAAAGAAAGGAAGAAAGTCATATCAAAGGGACTGAGAAACTAAACTATTTAACTCTCAGAAGAAAGAGCAAATAATCAACTATGCAATAGAAAACAATTTAATAAAAGAAACCTATGCATCATTGGAATCTTGAAAAGTAGTAGTCCAACGGAAATTCTAAACAGAGTATTCATTCATAGAAATCTCCCCTTTGTTTCTCTTCCTTCACACGATTAGACCAAGAATCTACTTTGATTTGAATGTCCCACGATATCTGATTGTTTGATAAAGAGAGGCTAGCAAAATCAACCAAGATAAAAAAAAGAAGAAAACAATTGGAAGAAGCTCAATGCATTAAAAAAAATAGAAAGAGTTATAAATCTCTCAGCTAAAAACCTCATAGAGTTTCTCAACAAGAAGTAAACAAGAGTCAATTGACTCAAAAGGATCCTTCCGAAGACGGTGTCTCAAGCAGTTGGGGATGACAGTGGCAATATCTTCTGCAGTGACTTTATTTATCTCTTCCCTTCAGAGCCGCAATTGCTTTTGCTGCTCTATTAGTCACTATATCTCCTCTCAATCCATCAACATTCAAGTCAGCACAAACCTTGGACATTTTAACCTTTAGATCACGATCAATCTGAACAGAAGAAAGAGAACTCCTAGCTGAAGCAATCTGCTGTTGGAGCTTCTCTTGCTCTGCCTTGTAAGAATCGCGGAATTCTTTTGGGTTTTTGTCAAACCTAGCTCTCTCCTCCACGATCTTCACTCTAAGCTCAGCATCCTTCACAGTCCCCACTTGAGCATGCATTCCAAATCGATCAAGAAGCTGTGGTCTAAGCTCCCCTTCCTCTGGATTACCCGAGCCAATCAGAATAAACCGTGCAGGATGTGAGATGGAAATACCTTCTCTCTCAACTGTATTCCATCCAGAAGCAGCAGAATCCAAATGAACATCCACAAAGTGGTCATCTAAAAGATTAACTTCATCCACGTAAAGAACCCCTCGATTAGCTTTAGCAAGAAGCCAGGCTCAAATGCCTTGACACCCTCACTGAGAGCTTTCTCAATGTCAATGGTTCCACAGACCCTATCTTCAGTAGCACCTAATGGCAAATCGACCATGTTGATTTTAGTCATTGAAATAGTCAGGTCCTCTCCTTTTGTAACCTTCTCTCTGACTTCTATACCCATTGATTCTGGATCTTCCGGGTCCGAGTTATAAGGGTCACCTAAGACTACCTCGATTTCAGGCAGTCAATCAACCAAGGACCTAACAGTTATGGATTTCCACCCATGATCATGATACCTCCAATCTTGGGATCAATCACATCTAACAGAAGACACAATTTCATCTCATCCTGTCCTACTATAGCAGCAAATGGGTACACTGGCCTCTGACTTTCTTTACCAGCAAGCTTCTGAGCCTGAAAATCATTAAGTTCACAAGCTTCATTCACATAAATTCAAAAGGTATTATTTACAGATCTGCTATGCAACTCTATATCCTCCTGCCCAACAGCGTTTTCTTCAAATACCCAACGCTTCAAGTGCCATAAGAAATATAAAAAATAAAAAAAAAAACTTTTCTTCAAATACAAAATAGAAGTACACAACTCTCCAAGGTGCCATTTTTATTATATCTAAAGATTCCAAACACCCAAATGAATGTTTGATCTCAAAACAGCATGAAATAAAAGAATAGAACAAAGTTAATTAAATACCTGTTCAACAGAGTTAATTTCAGTGGCAACATTATTAACTGCAATATGAAATTGAGGCCTTCTCTTTCTTCTCTGAATCCCAATCCCTCCATAAAAATTCCTCCCAGAACCCTGTCCTGTACCACAAAAAAAAAAAAAAATCTGAGTCCATAAACAACACCCATAGTCTACCCTCATATTTTTATTTGGTTTCATATTATCAGAAATAGGTTGTGAATAAGATAACGAGAAGTGCACAGTTAAGTTAGTTGGATAAAGAAATGTACCTGGGTTAATGGAGATAATGGGAATGGCAAACATTGAGGAAGGAGAAACGAGAGATCGAGAAGCTAAGATTGCGGTTGAGGATGTTCCTCGTAGGGACGCCATGCCGCAACCTCTTTTTCAGAGTGAGTGGTGGGCGTCTGTGTCACAGTTTTATGTGATTTCTTGACTCTCCACTGCTTGACATGGTTTCTTTTTGGTCTGTTAGGTTGCGGATAAGAAGATAGATTTCGTTCTTTCTTTGCTTCTTGTCATAAATAAAATTAATTTTTTATTTTTAATAAATATGGCAAAATCAATCATAAATAAAATTACTATTATTATTATTATTTGCAAATATTGGAGATAAATCTATACAGAAAACAATTAAATGGTGCCAGGAGCTAGTAATTTTATTTGTTTGTTTTTCAAGTTTTGTTCAGTATGTTGATAAGTAATAGGATTTGTCTCTCTTCTTGTATCAAAAATTTTTTTTTGGCATTTCATGAGCTAAGATTTCTCAAAACAATTAATACTAATTGATTATCAAAATGAGCATTTAATAGGCATTTCACCTTCATCTTGATAGGATTCAAAAACCAAATACAGGACTCCACATTGGCGGCTTAATAGATGAGAGCTCAATAACAGAAGCAAGAGACAATTTATTATTAGCCAAATTCACCACGAAAAAGCAAGACAGCTCTGGTGTCAATTTTGCCAAGCATCAGACATAAATACATTCGACGCAGCAACTAGACAAGTTGCTGTCAGGATTCAGGACATAGCTCAAAGCCTACTAAATTCTTTCCTACTAAATTTCTCCATCTCTTCCCTAAAAGCAGGCATGGCACTCTCACGCAAGCTCACCAAGACTTTAAACCCTTTATTCTTGCCTGTATTTGATGAAGAATAAGGCAAGAAAAAGCATGGCTCCATACTCCCAAGGAAATTGCTTGAAAGTGGCAACACAGTTACAGGACCTCCCCAACCAAAATCTACTGCTGAATGGCCCAAATGTCTCCAGTCTGTGAACCCGCTCACTCCTTTTCCAGCTGTTATGCCTTCTTCGTAGTGCAGTTCTTGTAAGTCAATAAAAGAACGCACGTACTCGTCACTGGAATTGCTTTTGCTCTTCTTGATCAGCTCTGCCGTTTTCCACAGAGGCTGCTCAATTAGGTCCTTGGCACTGACCTTGGCGTAAATTGCAACGCAGCCGTTGCCCCAGTAGCCAGCAGGCAATGGTGGCTTTACTAGTTTGCGGATGTTCATTAAATATGAAAACTTCACAGTCTCATCACCTGGAATCTTTGAGGCTTGCACCCTGTTTATATCAACAATGAAGATAACGGATCAAAAATTCCATTGTTATAGAGGCACAACACTAAACCTTGAATCTACAGTCTACACCATAAATTTCAATAATCAATATTCTAACTTCAACATAAGTCAATTGCATTTGCTATTGAAAATTGAATTCAAATAACATTTCAAATCAAATTAGAGTAACTATAGTAAGTAACTTAGTTTGGTAAAACTAACTTACTTGGCTCGCCAAATATATGCACCCAAGATTTCAAACGTGGTTAAACTCAGACCACTCTGTTCAGAAAGCAAAGCCTTGAGCTGGTCCAAGCATTCATCCTCCACATAAAAGCACTCCCTCACAACATGTCCAATATTCTGTTTGTAAGGATTAAACCCTTTCTCCAAGCTCAGAAAATCCCGAACTGGGCCTTCAACTTTTGGTGGGTTTCTTGGACCCAAAAGAGCAGCTCGGTCCCAAACAGGCTGAAATTTTACCTGGTCCACTCCACGTGCCAGATCAGCTGCCAAACAGAAAAACTGGGTTGCACCAAGCCCATCACACAAAGCATTATGAATAGCCGCCCCAAGAGTAAACCCACCACATTTGAACACCGTTAATTGTAAAATACAGGGGTTGACCAGAGTTTCTTCCGGGCTCGGGTCAGGAACCAGCTGTTCAACCGAATTCATATCAGGGTCATCAAGGTAATTTACTGACTCCAATGTGCAGTCCGCGCTTGCATTGACCAGGGGTAGGCTTTGATCCACCTGACAGAAAAGCTCATACCTACCATTGCTGGCACGGTGGAGAGAGCCCGCCAGAGGGTAGTAGTGGTGGAGAGCGGTGGAGATGGCGGAGGAGATGACCTGGAACGGGTTGCGATCACTGGTGTTACTGTTGACGTAAGCTCGCAGGTAACGGAAGGTGACGTTGAGGCTGTGGTCATTGTCTAGGTGAGAGAGAAGGAGGGCGTGGTCCTCGGTGAAAGGTGGGGTGGAGGGGCGGATTAGAGCGGTTTCTGTGACTTGGACATTCATTTTTCTTTTGGGTTTAGGGTACTTCCAGGGTTGATGTTGGATGTGGCGTTTAAAAAGGTAGATTCGTCAAAATGGTTGGTGTTGACGAATGATGTTGGAGGCTAAAACGGGGAGAATACCTTTGCCTCAAACCAACTCCCTCAACTAATGCTTGCTCATTCTGTTCCAGTGTCCCTTCTTTGACTATTGACTTTGGATCCTGGCCGATCATACCTATGAAGATTGCAGGATCAAAAAAAAATTTTACGTAGGTAATGTTTTCAATAAATTAATGTAGAGAGGATTAAATACCAAAAAAAATAAAAGAAGTAGAGAGGATACGGTAAGTGCTTGATGTAATGAGTTAAGGAATTAAAAATCGAAAAATTAAAGATAGATTATAAATTAAAAATAATACAATTGATTTAAAAAATAAAAAGGAAAGTGAAAAGGACCGATGGGCGAAAATTCATGCCCACCACCTAACCACGCAATTCTCACCAACTTTTCTTTGCTAATATTATAATATTATTATGGCTCTAGCCTTACTCTCATTGAGTTGAAACCCTAATATTTTGGATTTTAATGAACCTTAACAATGTCAAGGAAAAACAAAAGGTTCATTTTTAATCAATTGCTGATTGATGTTGTTATTGGATGCAGTGAATTTGGAACAAGAAATCAAATGTAAGATGTAATTGGACTACTCCCACATATAGTTAATTTACCCTAGAATGAAAAATCCGTAGAGAAAAAATGTTGAATATTAGTATATTTCCATAATTTTATTGTTGTGACCCATTAAAATGTTGAATATTATTAATGTGAAATTTAACTTAATTAATTTATACAATTATTTTTAAAATTAATATTTAATAAATTTAAAATTTAAATATGTAATATTTCGTATTTTTAATTTATAATTTCTTTTATAAAAACAATGTTGAATCCAATTTTTTTTGCTTTTTCTCATTCCTAAATGGCCCTTGAGCGCTGATCCAAATGAAAATATTTGTAGAATAAATGTACTCCAATAATGCAAACTCTAACTTACTTTTGGTAACGGGCTTTAGCCCACACAATCAGACGCGTGTCAATCTGAAGAAACGGTAACTTAAAACGCCCCTTAATCGCTCCCGTAGTCCCGCTCCTTCAACTTCCAGACCTATAAATATGCAGCACATTTGAAGAGAAAATCCATCTTCCAAAAACCCACATTTTTCTTTTCCACCTCAATGACTTCCATTGCCAATTTTCTTTCCAGCCAAACAGGTTCGTTTCTTGTATTCTCTCACCAAGATTACCGAGGCAAGTTTCCTCTCCTTCTCTCCCTCCCATTCAAATCCAAAACCTTGTAAAATCAAAGACATCGAGTTACTCCGAATGCAGGTTATCTTTTACACCTTTTTATTGAAATTTGAAACATCTAGGGTTTTAACTTTTAAATTTTTTTTTTGGATATGAGATCGTTTTCGTTGATTAATTCTTTTGGTGAATTAAATTCCTGTTTTTGAATTTTTATCTGTTTTAGGCATTGGATCAGTTTGATTTCATCTTTAGCATTCTGTAATAATCACACGATTTATTTGATGTTCATTTTCTTTATATTTTCCAGCTAGTGAATGCTCTTTCAGCTTTCATGTATCACTTTTTCCATGGATTTTGTTTGCTATTAATTTGACTTAGAAAATTTTGTTGATCAGGCTAGGTATTTTGAGTTGATAATCATGTTGTGTGCTTGAGTTTGATCATGAATGTTTTACTAAATTATGTGTTTCGGAAAGATGCATATATGCGATACACATTGCTCTGAAATGCATTGGATCTCGTGGAGGACGGATTTCATATTCAATTTGATGTTGAAAGGGTGCTTGTTGAAGTTTTATATACGTGCTTTATAAAGAATCGTGAAATACTCTATCTGATGTGAATGAGCAAAGGAAACTTATGGGTAGTCCATATTACTCTATAACCACTAAACCATTTGGTTGCTTACATCTGATGAGAAACATCACATGATTCAAATTGGTCCATTAACCGTTACTCCAGTTGAATGGTAATCTAATGAGCAACATCACATGATTCAAAATTTCATCGATTTGGTTTGCTTACATCTGACTGTTTTTATCTTATTGATATTTTAGTTACTTATAGTGGAACTGAATTATTATATTTATTCTCCGTAGCCATTTGGAGAAATTTGTTATCGCTTGTCAATTCTTTTTCTTGCACTTTACACCATTGCTTTGATCCTTGAATCTTCAGTTTGTTGCTGCAGCACCATTTTTGTTTTCTTTCTTTCCTATTGCAATTCATATTGACAGTCTTTGGATTGTTGCGGTTGGGAATAAATTTTTATCTATGATGCCTGCAGATGGCAGAGCCACAGAAGGCAACTTCTTCAGCTGTTGATTCAAAAGCAAAGGAGAAAATATCAGTGCTAGGTATTCCTGTGGCTGTCCTTATGGATAGCAAGCATTAAGAAATTCAATTTATTGTTTGTTCTCTATTCTTGTCCTGGAGATAATGGTAGCAGGAAAGCATTAGGGTGCAGGTTATCTTCTAATTTTACATTCCAACTCCTAACTAATTGGCAATGTTTTGATACTAGTGGTTGTGCACTTGTGCTAGAAAGATCTACTATCTGTGAGAAAAACATTTAAGAAAAATGCTTTAGAAAATGTGCAAAAATTGACAGGAGGCTGTAACTCTATAGTGGATTGGCTCATTGGCAACAATGACTAACTGCAGCGATTCATTAATGAAAACATAGTTAGAAACAATATCAGCATCCTGTAATCTTATTTTGGGGTTTGCTGACCCTTAACCTTTTGTGCTTGATTACTCTGGTATCCTCTAGGTGTTCCCATGACTAGAAATGATTTGTCAATCAATTCTATAGTCTAAAGGTGATGCAATAAATCTTTCGAGCATCACCTGTTTCAATAATTGAAATGAATTATGTACTGAGATCCTACTTTCCACTTGAAACAGATGAGGAAATTGGAAAGGATTTCCTTAACTCCTGGAAATCTATGTCAGTGACAGAAGAAGATGCTATGGATTTTAGCTTTGGGACAATCTCAAAGGGCAAGGAAAAGGCATTCAACTTTGAGAAGCTGTAAGTACTGCCAATTCTTGGAGCTTTTGGTTTGTCATTGTAAAATGAGGTTCTCATTGTATCACATCAGAACCTAGCTTGGTTAGTCTATTCTGAATATCATATGTTGAAATTGTGTACTATTGTGTTCTCTTTTTGTCATCACTTCACTTTACATATGTTGGTGCCTTCTGTATACATGTCATCATTATGCTTTGTGCAGTACAATTTTTTTTTATAGTTGAGATTGCCAGGGATTAAACCATGGAAACTGGAACTAAGAGTTCAAATACTTTATAAACTGAACACATGGTTGTTAGTGTGCAGTACAAATTATCTGTGAATAGGATAAATTACTTAGGTATGAAGATTTTTATTCTTTTCAGGGATATGGAGTTTAATCTGGATGGTGATTTTGACAAGTTATCGTCATTCAAAATGGACATGCCTGATCTTGACTTCTCATCTCCCTCAAAAAAGAATGCAAAAGCTAAGGAAAAATCTAAAGATAGGGGGAAACAACAAGAGAAAAATGATCGCTTTACCTTCTCTTTTGATTTTAATGAGTGAGTGAATAATTCTTTTATGTTTGAATCATCACATTGTACAAGCTTTTGCTTTCAAATTTTTACCAGGTGTCTAAGTCAACTTCACATTCGTTTCTTATTTCTTTGCCTGCATATTGTATCGGCTGCAGGTTGGATGGTTTTGACTTTGATTCAAGCCTAAGTGAAGGAGATAAGACTTGTAAGAAAATCCAGGAAAGAAAATCAGTTGCATCTGAGATTAGTGAAGTTTCTAAAATTGACCAGGCACTTGAGGATGATTGCATAACTGAAAAACTTCCAGCATCAAAGGATGCAACCAATTCAAAGGCTGAGACATCCAAGGGCAAGGCAGATGCTTGCAATTCCATGGATGATCCTTCTCCCTTAAAAGCAGTTTCTACAAAGGGTATTGCACCTGGAAATTTGGTTGATGCACAAGGATCAAGAATTTCTCCAGAGAAATCAGTGGATACCGGTACCAAAGAAACATATACATCAAGTCCGTTGTCAGATAGGGAAGTTTCCTTAGAACTCTATGATCAGCGGTCCTTACAAAGTTCACCCATGGATTCCCTCAGTAGGAACAATTCAAACCAAGAAACTGTTTCTGACATGCAGGCCAAATTTTGTTCTCAGGGAAGAAGAATAAATACCAGTTTAGCTGAAGAGCAAAATATTAATAACAAAATGATAAGCAATGAGGGGACTAATCAAGGAAATTTGCAGTGGAAGAACTCAATTCTGTTATCTGAGAGTGATAGAGATGAAAGAAAAGGGGTTGGTGGCAATATCCCAGCAGAAATAAACGACAGTCAATTAGTGGAAGGTGATATAATTCTGAAAGATATTTCCACTGCAAGCTTATCAGGAGAAATTTTAGACAACAGTGCAGCCAAGAAGGATATCCAGAATCCGATTTCCAAACTTCCTTCTTTTTCATCAGACAGGTCAGATAATCGACAAATCTTTTAATAATGTGCCATTATTGTTTAACTATTGAAAATTTCTAATTAGTGATTTTCTAGATGAACTATATCAATGAGAGAAATAGTTGATGTTGATTGTAATGCCATATTTAGTTATGGGATTGAAGAGAAGAAAGAAATATAACTCCATGTGCTACAGTAACTGCTTAAAATCACACTGATCGACAAAGCCCTTGGTAGTTTATGCTAATATGCTGCTATTAGCTTTGATATTGAGCATTGTATATGAGTTTCATATTGCGGCTAACTTTGATTTATTAGATGCAGTAAACCAACAGTCAGTGAACTGACTGCAAGAAAAGACAAAGAAGCTGGGGCTATTCACTCGAGGTTTTTCAGACGATCAGAAGAAAACAAATCTCAATTGCATCAACCATCAGCAACTGGAAAAGATGTTTCCTCATTTAACAGAAAAAGGATTGGTGACAAGCATTTATGTCGCACATATGAGAAAAGGTTTGCCATGCTTTATCTAACAACTGTAATTAGTGTTGTTCCATGGCAGATAGACTCTTAGACTCTTTTCATCTTCAACAGGGATGATTCTGACGGTGGTGAAGCAGAAAATAGAAGAAAACCGGTGGGTTATTCAAAAGTAAGTTCCCAAGAATCGACAAAAGGGAAGCCGGTTTTGCTGCAAAGTGAAAACAATGCTGAAAGTTCTAGTGATATCAGGTGAGGCATCGACATTAGTAAATTTCTGTTACACTAGTGTTATAAAATTTGGTTGTCCCTTTGGAGATGTCGTTGGAACTTTTAACTTAAGAAACAATAAATATGTAACATTTTCACTTCTTATATGATATTATATATGCAATACTAAACAGGGATGGTTTCACTGCTGATGCTGCACAAAATGGTGGCAACAAATTAATCAGTAAATCAAGTTTGCAAGATAAAGCAGCAACAAAAGGAGAGCCTGTCCTTTTAAGAATTGAAAAGAATGTTAGGTGAGGCTACATTATTTGAGCTTATATTTATGTTTTTCTGTCAATCTCTACTCCAGAAACATGATTTTCTCATGTAATTTTTAGAATGAGCAGTGTAAACATTGGTATACATGGCATTTAACTGGTTCTTGGTAAGCATCTAAATGTGGATTCTTCGTTCCTGGGCCATTAGTTCCATTTATTCATAAATTATCTTGGAAGACTCTTTTTATTGATTTGAATACCAAAATTACTCAAATGAGCTTTGAATTATTCGTTCATTTTATCCTCTTTTGGAAGATTTGCTTCTTTCTTTGGGATGTATGTTGCACTCCTTTCTTATAAGTTCTATACTTTTCTGCTGAGTCTTTGCTTTATCTTGTGATTCGTTTATTTTCATAATAGTGAATTGTTTTTTTCAAATTTTATCTTCATCTTACATTAAAATTTTAAAACTTAATATATATTATCTAGTAGCTACAAATCTTTCCATTACTTAATCTGTTTATATTTTCTTTGGAACCTTTAGCAAAACTGTTAACTAAGCTCTACGAACTTGTGTGGCTTCCTTGCAGTTTGCAAGCTAATCCTCCTAACCATGCTGAGAAAACTGAATTTGGTGTCCAGACATCTGTGAATCCCAAACTTCAGGTTCAAAAATTAGAATCCATTCAGAACTCAAAGTTTCTTCGTGAAGCACATAAAATTCTCAAGAAAGCACCTGCTCTCTCTAGCTTTAAAAGCACAAGGTATGATGCTGATGTAGCACCTCAATTTTCCGCAAGGCCATTATATCAGGGATTGCTCTGCTAAATTTTCTTAACAAATGCTGCCCCTTCTCAATGTAGGACTGTAGGAACAAACAAAGATCAACTGAGTTCTCAAAGGGAAACCAATTCATTGAGAAACTTGGAGCAAAACAAGAATACTCCAGGAAATACATCTAAGATTGTCCTTCCTGTTGGAAATGCTGAGAAACAAACACCAAAGCTCCCATCCTTGAAGCGGAAAACATTGGAGGTCCTCTTCTCTTTTCTGGATATGAGTTACTGCTTTCAATGTGCAATTATCTTTTTCATTAAGGAATGCACAATTTATCTTTAAATACAATGCCATTGCAATAGGTAATATGTTCAAGCAGCTATAAAGTCTGTGTTCATGTAATTAACATGATGTGCCACTAATTTGTTCAAACTATTCCGTAGGAATCAAATGGAGACTTAATGTTGTTGAAACCCCTCAAAAGGCTTTTGCCATCTCCAAGTGAAAGCAGGTCTTATTGCTTGTAAACTCTACACGCATTTTAACCAATCTATGGGCTTCTTTGCTAGAATAATGCAGGTTTTTCTTTTAACAAAATGCAGGAATCCTAAGGAATCTTCTCAAAGAGTTGCTGATAAAGAGGTATCTTATCATACCAAACTCGTACATTTCTGCATGAACAAAGGCAGGAAATCCTTGCGCAAATAAATTACAGTTTCAAATATTTGCTAGACTCTAATTACTTCAAACGTTTATGCTAGGTTCAAAATACTAATAAGAATCACATGGAAGAGTCAACCAAGAATATTCTTTTTGACCATCTGACCTCCAGATCTGAAGTTCCTCGGGAGGTGAAAGTGACAGAACTGGAGTTTCCTTCAGTCATGGAAGATGATGGAAATATGGAAAAGGCTGAAGCTTATGGAAAGGAGCTGGAAGATGTAAGTAAAACACATCAATGAAAGTTTGATGCTCTGAAGCTCAGATATGTCACTGATCTATTTCACTTCAAAAGAAAAAAAAAATCTGTAGTCTTTATGCGGTTTGAATGAGTTTAGATTAATTTATATTTCTTCTAAGATATGAAAACTATCTATCAACCAGAGGATACTGGATATTTGATAATGTGCTGTTTTCTTTGCAGATCTGCAACATGCTGAAAAAGAAACATGAGGAAGCCAAAGAAATACTGGTTCGAGCTATTGTGAACAACAACAATTTACTGATGCTTAACCATCCCATCTTTCAAGAGAAGATATCCTTTCCATTTTGTACTATTTGCTGTCATAAGTTTTTCTCAGCTAACTTACATTGCTATAACCGAAGTTGCACGTTCCTTCACAATTAAAAACATTCGTATGGTTCAGAAATTTGCTGAGCTATTAATATCCAAGGAAATTCCAACTTGATCAAAGGCAAGAACGGTGCTTATATGTCATATAAGGTATCTCTCTCGCAGACACATACACAAAGATACAAAGACACGAGCAATTCGAAGTTTCGAACTTTCTTCCCCCTTTTAGTTGATAAGTTGTTCCATGAGACTCTCAGGAACAGGTTCATCTTCTCCTTCCCCGAAAAGCTAGGACCAACAGATCTTACAGTGGAGTTGAACAACATGGTTAGAAACCTTTCAATTTAAATCGATCTCTTACGATTGTTTTTTTAGCTCTTTACCTGCATTCATCTCTTTTCTTAGTTCTGTTTAGTTCCCTGATTCATTGAAGCTGGTACATGAACCACCTCTTTTACGATGCAATGAGTTGTTTGTACGATCAATTTAGAATTTCTTAAATCATGTAGATGGTTGAATATGATTTACAATTTCTCTATCATTCTGATTGATTGTTATTTGCTATCTTAATCACGTACCATTATTATTCTTGCTTCAACTTCATACAATGGTTCTCGTTGGGACCTCAACAATGGACACTAGAGATGCCATCTGATTTGGGAAGAAATGGAGGGACGTGGTTAAGAATTATATAGTATATACACGGTCGCGTTACCAAAAATACTTATTGACATGCAGTTTATCCTAGTGTTTTTTAATGCTTAAAATTACATTTGAAATTCCTTTTGAACCAATAATTTATCAGCAGACAACAAGACTCAAAAACCCAAACTCATGCCCTTGATTGGAAAAATAGAGCTAGTAAGAATAGGGTCCAGTCCACTCCAGCCCAGTCGTAAAAGTAAACAAATTATTTTCTCCCTCCTCGTGCCCCAATTTGTACAACAAAAAAGCGCGCCTTCTCCATCGAGCACGGTTTGACCTTCGCGATTCATTCAAATCTAAAAAAGAAGCATAAATGTTTCCGCCTAATAGCAAAAAAAAAAAAAAATTGGTTTCCGCCTCCAGCCTCCCCCCTTAGAATCAAAATTAAAAAAAATCATCCCAAATTGAAACCATTCTTTTCTCCCCTCCAAAATTCCCTCCTTGAAACTAAAACTAAAAAAATGTAAACATCCTAAAACAATTTGAATTGAAATCTTTCGCTTCATCCCCTCCAAAACCCACCATTACTTATATCTCCTCCTCCCCTTCACCATTTCACCACCCTCTCCCATCCTGTCCTTCCTCCTCCGTCTCTCTTATCACTCAAAGCTAAATGGCTGTGCTCTCCCTTTATGAAAATGATAACAAGGAGAACGTCCTTCCTTTCTCTTCCAAAAAGCCTACATCTGTTCTCACAAAATCTTCATCCTCAACCAATCAAAAAGGAAGAATAAGAAAACCACTTGAAGACATTACCAATCTCGTTCTCCCACAAATCTATTCAACTCTGTCTCAATCCAATACAACAATTCTGGTTTCTTCCCAAGCTTTGATATGCCAAACGAAATGCAGAAAGAGGAGAGCTGAAGATGGAGCTGAATCAATTTGCAAGAAGACTTTGGTGTATAAAAGTGTAAACTTCCGATGAAGCACTAGGGTGATTCTTTTGTCAACTACTCAATCTGCTTGATTGAGGGTTCATTTTTATTTTCTTTCTTTTATTGAGTATTTCACTTTAAATTATACATTTAGACACAGATTTCATGTTATGATATGTCTCAAAATCAAGATCTGACCTTTATATTGTACTACTGAGTAATAAAATGATTGGATTTTCTCCTCTTATCATGTTTTCGAATCCGCTGTGTGATTTGATTGATTGTGCTACGAATGACTTTAAATTAGCAAACCAAGTTGGACCAATAAGCATTTTGTGATACAATACAAATCCCTAAAATATTAAAATTTGCTTGATCAGATAAATGCAGACATTAATCTAAAGCCTAATCTGGCCAGAAATTTTTTTTTTAAAAGTTAATCCTAAAAAGAACTACCAAAAACTAAATTACTTAAGTATCTGTCTGTCTGCTTCTTTCAGATTTATTGCTTGTATGATTGTACCTTATCTGCTTTCAGATAATCATAATTTAACGCAAATTTATCTCTTCTATGTTCTTGTGTTAGGTGGTCCATTATAATTTAGAACCTGTAAACTCGGATTGTTTTGCATTGGGCTTGAGTTGTGAATTTTTTTTTTTTTTCAAATTCGACTTTGGTCCAGCCTAAATTAATAGTACTATTTTATTACTACATTGTGATTATTAGGAATATAGGATTTTATGCTCTTTAAAATTATCATGGTTCTAACTTCTAACAACTACTCTTTTATGTCTGAAAAACAATGAAAAAAAAAGTATTCAAATTTGAGTGTACGGGAGGTTTGGTTTGCGTTTGTTTTTAACATTTCTTATGAAATTAAGCTCGACCAATAGACATTTCTGAGGGGAGCCCGTACTTTAGCCCACAGGAAAGAGCAATGAATTCAAGAACGAATATATATTTATGATTTATTTATTTATTTTTAAAGATATATGCACTCAATTTATATTTAATAAGAAAATTATTTTATTCGTTTAAATTCAATTCATTTAAATAATAAGATATTTGTATTTAATTTATATTTAATTCAATTAATTTTAATAGATTTATTTATAAATATTAAATAAATATATTTAAAAATATATATAAACAAATATATTCATCAACGATAAATAAATTATAATCAAATAAATTTAAATAAATAGATTGTAAATGAATATAAATAAAATTTAAACTAAAATTAAGATAAAAGATAAAAATAAAAATTTATTATTATTATTACTAAACAATAAACGAAAATATATTATATTTAAATGAATATAAATAAATTTTAAATGAACAAATTTTAAATAATTATTAAATAAATTTATTTAAGAATATAAATGAACTAAATAGATATTTATTTATATTAAATTTGTTTAATAAATAAATATAAAATTACTGTTCAAAATCATTTATTAAACTTAACAAATAAATATAAATAAGACAAAAATTAAACATATTCACGTACGACCTATTAAAAATTCGATTCGTCTGCACTCTTTTTAATCTATTCTTCAAATAATGTCCATTGGTTTGGGATTTGTGAATGGAACAAAAAAATAGCCTATACTAGCATCGGCTGACTGTTAGTTTCACTATGATTTTCAAGCTATGAGTAGACGCATCTTCATTTCCCATGGCAAGAGCACGAAGATGATGTCGTCAGCAGGCCACTTTGATATAGTGGATTCGAAATGTGTTTCAAGGTTGTAATAAAAAATCTTAGATATCAAAAGATCGAATCCTAATAAAGACAAAATAAATTATTAAGGGAGGTGTTATTGTCATTATTTTGGACTCTGCTTCAGTCTTTAGGAGAAGTCGACAAGACGCGACTCTTCCACGCTCAGAAGTGGGTAATGAGAAGTTGAAGTTGAGGAAGGCTTGCCAGCTTTCTTAAATGCCTAAAAAAATGTTTAGACTTACAGTAATCAAAGTACTCCAATGCTGAAGAGCATAAGTGATTACGTACCTTATACATTTTATACAGCAATCTGCGAATATGAATCAGGGGTCAACTACACTTTACGATAATCATTTCATGCTTTTGGAGCTCCTTTTCATTGGTTCTATGGAAAGTAACGTTTCTATTACCTATATATATGCTGCCTATTCAAGCTTGAATGCGTACAATAAGACTGCAGTATCTAAAACCGCTACAAGAAAATGGCTTTCCGGCGATTTCTTGCATGCCTGATACTGATATTATACTCAGTTTCAAGGTCTGAATGTCGCCTTCTTAATCCAAACATTGTAAGGGAAAATATTCCAACCAGATATTTTCGAATGTTGTCCCTTGCTACTAGTTCAGGGAAGGTGTATCGGTTTAATATAGAGATCAGAGATGAGAGAGATGATTACGAGTCAAAGCGTCTAAGTCCTGGGGGTCCTGATCCGAAGCATCACTGATTTGCAAATTGCTAGCAGTGATTTTCGTGAGAGCTAGATAAAGTTACTAGTATCTTCTGATGAAACAAATAAAACTGTCATCAGAACTTGATGTACTGACAAAATAAGTTGAATGCAATGACAAATCATCAATGATCTAGTAACGCAATGTATCTGATCCATGTTGTTTGAATGCAATTCGTGTAATATCCTTTGGTTTACATTCTTTCTTTTTGATATCTATGGTATAGTTATTTAAGAATGTGCATGATGATATTAAGAGACGAAGCGGTCTCTTCTGTTTAGTAGACTTTTCACTCTCTGGTGAGAAAACCTGGACGGTAAACTTTCTCTGCTCGACTCATTAGATTTCCTGGAGATTCAGAATGCTTACATTAGTCTGCCAATTTATAGATAGAAAAAATGATAAAAGAAAACAAGCAAGCAAAAATTGATACCAGTGTTAATTTCTTTGGTTTAGCAAATATACTTTATGCACCAAGGAAAGTTGAATGTGAGTTAGGAAACTTGGAATCCTAACTCCCTCTTCTCCGCTTTTTGTCAATTTCCTGGATAATAGAAGGCTTACTCAAATTTGTCCGAGAGAGAAGTTTCCTCTCCAATTTTAACTTCTTTGGTTGACAAATGTACTCATGCACCTTTATCAATCTCTATGGGTCCCTTCTGCACAAGCGAAATTAAATATGTCAAAAGTGACCTCACATTGAATCTTTTGCAAGTGCTAAGCAAGTTTACAGGAGAAAGTGCCAGGGACAAATTATTAATGTTAAACTTATTACTCTTTCTGATACAATTCTGTTTCCCTAATGATTGATTAATGTTCTGATCAGATTGCAAAGGTTTTTTTGGATATAAAGAATGAAATTATGTTCAATTCAACTCATGCATTTATTAAAGTACTAGTGATCTGGTTGTTTCACTTGGTTGAGGTAGGATTAGATCATGTCATATTAGAATTCCAAGATGTGCAGTATCTAACTTGATACTTAAACAATTTCCATGTACAATAATTGTCCAATAATTAAACCACAGAGAAGAACAAGAAAATTGTTAGGTCTATTAGCTTAGCTTAGAACTTTACAGTACAGTACAACATTCACTTAGTAGTTCTTATAAGAGTAGTTTTTTTTGTCTTCCTACAACCTAGATAAATGGGTAGCCGCTTGAGAAGGAATTGAATAGTGAATACTTTAACAAGCTTATACATCATATTTGATAATGTTATGAGCAAATGAAGATATACATATGTATATGTATATATATATATATATATATATAGCTTTGAATTTGGAAATGACAGAGGTTGGAGCATCTCAACAATACTGAATGGAGAAGCCCTTATATATAGTTAGTTTTTTTCCACTCTATCTTCTTTGATGATGATGGGAAGGAATGCAAAAAAGGAGCCATTTAAAATGGTAGACCATTGCTGCCTTTTCAAATGCTTCGTCATCTCAATAATATGCATAGAGATATATTTTATTGGCTCATAACAACGGTTGGATAGCATGA